TGTGGTAAAATTACAGTTGCTGACAGTGGGATTCAGCACAGCCACTGGAACAAGTAACACCATCAAGGGTAAAATGGCTTACAAGGAGCTGTGTCTATATTTATGTTACGGGTCTCAAAATGGTGCAACTGCTGCCTTCACAATGGTTCCCACCAATGGTTCCTACCTAAATCAAATCAAATCAAATCAAATTTTATTTGTATAGCACTAAATCACAACAAAAGTCATCTCAGGACACTTTACAAAGTAAGGTCTAGACCTTACTGTTATCACTATTATTACATAGGGAAAACCCAACAAATCCCCCTTGAGCAAGCACTTGGCGACAGTGGGGAGGAAAAACTCCCTTTAACGGAAGAAACCTCCGACAGACCCCGGCTCTTGGTGGGCGGCCTTCTGCCTCGACCGGTTGGGGTGAGTAGATAGAGGAGAGACAAAAGAAGAAAAGCAACAAGACACAACAATCAAACACTGGTCAGGTCGATGTGACTGGTGACTGCTCGTCAGAGACATAGAGCTCCAGAGCCAGGGCAACCTGCAGGAAGGTACAGGGAGAGAGAGAGAGGACACACTATGGGAGGGAGAGAGGACGCATTATGGGAGAGAGAGAGGAGACACACAGTTAGTGATGTGTAATGGTGGCATATAGAAGCATAGGGAGAGAGAGGAGAGGAGAGGAGAGCAGAGCAGGAGGGGAGGGGAAAGAAACTCAGAGCATTATGGGGCCCCCCAGCAGCCTAGGCCTATAGCAGCATAACTAAGGGAAGGCTCAGCCCTAACTATAAGCTTTATCAAAAAGGAACGTCTCAAGTCTAGTCTTAAAGGTAGAGAGGGTGTCCGCCTCCCGAACTGAGACTGGGAGTTGGTTCTATAGGAGAGGAGCTTGATAGCTAAAGGCTCTGCCTCCCATTCTGCTTCTGTGGACTCTAGGAACCACAAGTAAACTTGCACTCTGAGAGCGAAGTGCTCTGTTAGGATGATAAGGCTCTACGAGGTCTTTAAGATATGATGGAGCCTTGTCATTAAGGGCTTTGTATGTTAGGAGAAGGATTTTAAATTCTATTCTGAATTTTACAGGGAGCCAGTGGAGAGAAGCTAATATGGGAGAGATATGATCTCTCTTGCTAGTTCCTGTCAGTACTCTGGCTGCAGCATTTTGGATTAGCTGGAGGCTTTTTAGGGAATTATTGGGATATACTTATAGTAAAGAGTTACAGTAGTCCAGCCTGGAAGTAACAAATGCATGGACCAGTTTTTCAGCATCACTTTGGGACAGGATGCTCCTGATTTTTGCAATATTGCGTAGGTGAAAGAAGGCAGATCTAGAGACTTGGATTTTGTGTGATTTAAAGGACATATTCTGATCAAAGATGACTCACAGGTTCCTCACAGTAGTACTGGAGGCAAGAGCTATGTCATCTAAAGTAACTATATGATTAGACAGCAGATTTCTAAGGTTTTCAGGCCCAAGCACAATAACTTCAGTTTTGTCAGAGTTTAGAAGTAAGAAGTTGCAGGTCATCCAGGCCTTTATGTCTTTAAGACATGCTTGAAGTTAATTAATACTATGTAATGCAACAGTTCTACAGAAAATCCTCCCTCATGATGGTTATAATGTTCAGTTTTTGCTGAAGCTTTTCTAAAGACATGCTAATGAATTTTTATAATCACTTTTTAGGCTGTGGTTTGTTTCTTGAAAACAACTTTGACATACACAGGGTGAAAAAGATTATAGAACCACTCATAATAATGCAATTCAACACCAGCAAACCCCACAACCCCCACCTTTCAAACAGTTGAGCTGCAACACAAACTGAACATTATAACATTCATGACAATGGGATTACTGCAGAGCTGGTATTGTGCTTAATTACTTTCATATTAGTGTACCTGTAGTACCTGTATAGTCGTTTATCCAGCAGGAGCTGTAAAACTCTACATACTTTTCTGAATACCATCAAAGCGTCTGTGCTTTTCTAGTTTCATAAGGGACTTAAATGTTTTAATCTCCATTGTCCCATCTTTACAGCGAGGCAGTGCTCATGGACAGTGCAGGTATAAATCGTGAATGCAAGATATATCACACAAATCCATAAAAATTTGTCATTAGAAAATTACAATGCTAACAAGATACAGTAATATAGAGAGAAGTATTCAGATATCTCAGTTAGTCTAAGCATCATCTCAAAATTTAAGACATCTCATGAGTAAAAATAAGAATTTAAGACTTTTTGTGACTTAAAACTTTTTAAGTCAAATTTAAGACTTTTTAAGGATCCGCGGGAACCTTGATTATACGCAGTGGATGAAAAGAAAGATAAGCATGTGAACAAGCTGTTGTACAAATTAACATTTGACTCACACTAGCCCCCCTCAAAACAAGGAGAATGTGAGAAATACACCTGCAGTTAAGATCAAGATGTTGATGCTATTTTGTTAGGTTTTCCTGTTTTATATCACCTCTCCTGCCCCAGCTTTACCCCTGTTCCTATCACCATTCATTGTCTCCACCTGTTGCCTATTATCTTCTGGTCTTCAGCCTTTATAGTCACCTCCCTTCGCTCAGTCTGGTTGCTGGCTCATCTGGTCTCCATGCTTCACCTGTTCCCATCTCCTGTGCTCTCTCCGTTCACCACACTCTACCTGTTTGTGCTATTTCTGAAGCCCTGTATATGAAGCCCTGTTGTGTTCCCCACCTTGGCTATCTTTGAACTGTTCGCCCTAGGTTTTGGACTTGCACGCTGTTGTGGATTTTCAGTTTTGTGCCTTCAGAGTTTTTTGGTTTTGACTTAATTTGCTTAGCTCCCTAACTGTTGTAGATTCTGTCGACATTCTCTGTTACTTGTATCAGGTTGTTTTTTGCCCTAGTCCTATGTTCAAATCCTTTAAGTCTGTTTAAGCAACTCCTCAGCCTGGGTCTGCATATTTGGGTCCTTCCTATGCCTTAAACATAACAATTGAGGCTTTCCCCCTGACCTCAGTGCTGAGCGAGTACAGTATGTGCATAATTAAAAGACAAGCTAGATTGACAAAAAACATGCCTAAACATGAAGAATATTTGGCTCAATTCAAATCACAACTGAATGCAGTTATGTTGGCTAATTCAACCAAACTACGCTGTAGTGATTAAAAAGACCTACAGCCCTTACCAAGGTGATCAGAGGATTCTCAAACATTTTATAAGATGCCTATTAGGCTTTTAATTAAATCAATCATGAAAAACAACAAATCAGTGTTAGAGGATTATCTAAACCATGCAGGCAGATGGGGATAAGGTTCAGAGTGGAATATTGTAGTATATCTAGTGTTAAATCTGTTTACTGTGTATCTCTAGGGAAGTTAAATGCTTGTAAAACAGTGGAGATTTTTAAAAACCTCAATTTACATTTGTATGCAGATAATCTGGTTATATTTTCTCTATGCAGTGCCGATCTTAGAGTTACTGACTTGATTTAAAGAGGACAGTTTTAAAGTTAAATTAATCTCTGCACCCTACATACTTTATACTATACAGCCATGTATACTGGTCAGTTATGGTGTAGATGTACAGTAAATTAATGGTCACTTGTATCACATCTTAGATCTTATGTCAAGCTGTGTATTTTCACTCAGTAACCCCAGCCCTCCCCTAATGCTATTTTGCCTTGCCCTCACCTGATCTTCTCTACTGGGCCTGGCACCCACAGCTGTGGGGCTGGTGACCCGGGGCTGCAAGGAGAGCAGGGTGTCAAACAGCATCCTGGTCTCAGCGATCTGACTAGCAATGTCAGCATTGGGGTGCTGGCCAAACACCCCAGGGTGCTCTGTGGGTGGCAGCATGTTAATATATTCCTTGTATGAGGACTGGGGACCGTCATGAGGGATGTAATAGGAGGATAAGGAGGACAACCTGAGAAAGGATGTTGACAGAATCCAAAGTCAGTTTATATATCATGGTCTTTATAAACAATGGTAAGGAAAGTAAAAAAGATCATATGAATGTTCTGGATGCACTTCATCTGTGACAATACTTATGCCTAGACAGACTATACACAATAATATAAATAGCATGCAACATCTAACCTGTGATGTCAACATCTGCATCATAACAACTTCATTTCATTTGTTTCATTACAACTATTTTTCGCACGCAACATTAGAGCATATTATAGCTATTCTCTCAAATGTATTTTCTGCCAATTCAATGGCCCATGCCCCAATTTCCCAGTAGAAATTTTCATATCATCTACTGTAATTAAATGTTATGGTGCAAGTGCAAAAATACAAAAGCCTTGGAATTTAAATAAAAATATACCCAAGTTGTGGTATATTGATATTAAAATAAATAGTCTGCATGAGGAGGTAGTGTTTTCATTGTATTGCAGGACACTCACTGATACTTTTATGTGCAGCCTCCTGTTTATGGTCTGTTAATTTGAGCTGCAGCACTGTTTTTATTTATTTATTTAAATGATTGGTTGTAAATTAAATTGAATGGACACAGGATTTGTGCAAGTATTCTTGGCAGTGTTCAAGGCCAAAATGTGTCTTAGGTTGTAATAATCTGACTGTCCACTTGGTGGTGCTGGCAACCTTCTAGAAGCTTACACCTTGAACAGAAACGTCCATTGCCACTAAAATTCATCTTGCCCGACGGCTGCAACATGACTTTGTTTATTGAAACTTAAATTATTAGCAGTGTGCATTTCAGTTTATAGCACTTAGACTGGTAAATACGGTGTTCTATGACAAGATGTGACAGAATATGAGTATTAAATGTCTCACTTGAAGAGGGGCTGGTTGATGGCAGCATCACAGAAGTAGTCACTGATGTATGTGGTTAAAAGACGTCTATCCCAGTCATCTGTGACATGGCCTCCATAGTTGACCCCAGCAATGAGGTACTTCAGTGCGTCCCAGGGAATCTCCTCATAGTTATCCAGGTATTGACTCAGCAGATTCTCACTCACCTGGAGGGCCACACCAAGGAGATGATCATTACAGACTAAAGGTAAAGACAGACTAGAGAGAAAGACATTTTAACTATGGGGATAAGTAGGTTTCAGTCTCATGCATTTGAACAAGATTATCATTATCCATTAGTCTAATTGGCCTTTACTCTGACAGGCTATATAATAGCCTTTCTGCTTGACTTAAGTTTGTAGTTGAGAGCACATTATTAAAAACTTTGTATAGATTTCACTCACTACCACCATAATCCAAGCTACAACCACAATCATGATCATCTTCACTATATCAATTAGTAAAAATCAAAATCATAAAAGCCATAGACAATGTTCCAGCCTAGCTGTAGAAACTTCTTCCTTTCCAGCAGAATGCTGTGAAAAAAGCAGAGGGAGAAGACCAGCTTCCTGTAGAAGACAGGTTTGGAGCAGCGGTTGAACTGAGCTTCTGTCACCAGCTGGTATAGACGTTTCATGTTGGATTTCACACCCTGAAGACAACAGAGGGCAGTGTTATCACTATGAGGGTGCTACCTCTAGGATGTACACTATATTGCAGTGTAAAATACTGTGGTGGGGCTCCTGCCCCTGTAGCTGTTCCACCAGCTTGTCCAGGTCAGGCATCCAGGACAGAGAGAGGTGGCAGTTGGCAAGGAAAACCCAGTGACCTGACAGAGAAAAAGGGGGCTGGAGATAAGTGGATATAACTAGATTTTCTTCTGTCATGTCTAGTTACGTATATTTGTGTATCCAGGCAATCTTGTGATGGCTCAATAGACAAAAATAACAGTGCTAAGCAACAGAATAAATCTGAGACAGAAGAGCCGGAAGAAAGACACAGCATATGGTGGTGTACCATTTTTGACACCCTCTTCGATCATGCTCTTGGCAATGGGGGCCTGTCCCTGGCCCAGAGAGAGAGCATGGAAGTGCTTGCTCATACCAGAGGCCTCAGCCAGATGCAGCAGGGCTCCAGTGGGGTCAACCCCAGGAGAAAGTACAAAGATCAGAGGAGTCCTGCTGGTGGATTCCTCCACAACCTGCGGAGAGACAGCAAGTGTCAACAAGGAAAGAGAAAGAAAGCGAGAGTGGATGAGCCAACACAGTGGAACTCACTTGATAGCACTTGACAACACTGTGACTGGATTTCTGAGTTTTCAAGTGAGCTACAATCAAACATAATTACATAAATGAGATGTATGAAATACTTGTTTCATTCAAATTCAGAGCGTCAAAACTAATACTCAAGACACAACAATTAATTAGATTAGAGATGACACTCACAGCCTTCATGTTGAGAACAGGTGGCTCCACAAAGCGAGACCCAAGGTTGTTAACAATGAAGGAGGTGATACAGAAGGAGACACGGTCCGGACGCAGGGAGCGTACTATCAGCATCTTCTGGAGCTCATTACATTTATTCTCCCAAACACCTAATAAAAACACAGAGAGGGAGGGAACACATGGGTGTAAATTAAAAGAACGAAGCAAAAAAAGAAGTGAAAAGAGTAGAGAACAAAGGATATAATGAAGAAAATGGCAGTAATACATTCAGAATCTGGTATACTGCCACAGTCCTTAGCACACACGAACTCTCTTGCATGGTTCAGCCAACATTACACTCTGCTGATATAGTGTATATACACACACAGCAGGATACTGTATTCTTAATAAAATAGAGGAAGCATTTAAAGGTACTAGTGTCATACTTTAGCAAAAAGCTGAAACCTGTCAAAGCACAACAGCATGAACAAGCTGTTTTTCTCAAACACCAATATAGCCAGCCTCTCAGCAGACTCTGCTTCATCTTGTTCAACTTGTTCCTGGTGGAAAGCGCTTTCTGCAGTAATAAAGAACTCAACACATACAGACCTGGTAGTGTGGCATGCTCTGGCTCAGTGCTGGTGAACCAAAGGTTCCACTCTTGGGGGTACTGTTCGAAAGAAGCCATGATGCCGTGGAAGTTGGGGAGCTTATCCAGCTCTGTGATGTTATCCCAGCTGGAGTCTGCCAGCCAGCTCGTACAGGGGTTGTCCATCTGATCTTTTTTATCAAGTACCTAAAAACACACCCATCAATTAATCAGTAGAGAAACTATCCTTCCATCAGTGGGTGTTTTTCAAGTCTCTTATATGATCGATCCTAGGTCCTCAGTCAACCTGGGAGTCTTTTTGATCTGAGGATGGTCCAGGTCTATTATATCGGCTCAGAGGAGCAAGACATGAGGAGGCTGCTGGAGGAACCATGAGGGAGGATACATGAGACCATCATTGACAAAGTTTTTTTTTATGAACCGCTTTATCAGAAATCAGTTGGTGATGGAAGACTGGCGGAAAGGACATCTCATGTTGTTAAATGTAGTGTCAGCAATTCTAAGGTCATTGCACATTTTGTCATATTCAGCTAAGGTTTCCTTACATTTCTCTGCCTGGCCTTTCAGTTTGTGGGCTCAACAAACCCCAGGTGGGTGTGTGCTGTGCTTGCTCTGTAACCAGCAAATAAAGGATCGGAGTCGATCCGGCAAATTTCAGCCAATCAGCACAAGGTGGCAATCTTGCTCATGCACAGCATAGTGTGTGCGCAGGAGAGAGGGAATTCAGTTTGGTTTGGAAAATTCATAACATTGCTACAACCAAAAAGGGGAAGATGGCTGAAAAAGTATGAGCTCCATTGCTTCACAGCCTATACAACTAGTCAACCAGGAGGAGAAAGACAGAAGCACTAAATGAATGAATGAGTGAATGAATGAATGGACTGTAATGTTAATCAGGCCAAGTCAGAGACCCATGTAAACATTGTGTGTGTTCTGTGTTTTCTTACAAGACCTCCTCGGAGAAAGAAGCTATACTCGTCCATATTGAGTTTGCCAGCTGCCTCCTGGATTTTGGCACAAATTTGGAAGCTGAAGAGAAGCTTGTGAACCTCAAACAGGCCGCGACACATGTACCTGCAAAGGATAACTCACTGAGTTAGCTAAAGTGTTTCTACAGACATAGTGTATGTTTCTGATGATCATCTCAGAAACCTATGATTCCAAATGTAAGTGACCTGACAAGTTCTTAAATCTTTATCAAGGATACAATAGCTACAAATGTTGGAGATGGAAGCACTCCAGCCCTTTTACATGGCACAGTCATACAGATATAACTTATACAACTTATTTGTACAACATAGAAATTTGCCTTTGGTCTGTCTCTGTCCATACACAACATTTACTGTACTGAAAGGAATCCATACATCTTAATGCAAACAAGCATGCTTTATGAAAAGGGCCTCTCTTGATAGGTTCTTGTTCACCTGTACACGGCGTATGTGTGGTAGTCATTGAGGCTGGTAATCCTTTCCTCCAGCTTGTGGCTGCGCTTGCTATTATCTATGCTGAGGCTGAATAGATTAATGTAGGCATCCAGGGAGAACTGGTACATGGAGTCAATCCGGCCCATGTCGTTTAGGATGAAGAAAAGAATAGAGGCTCTCTGGGCACATGGGCGGTAGGCCTAGTAAGAAAGAGTATTTTAAACTCAATGCACAAACTGCCATACTGTACCAATGCAATGCATGGGGACAATCACAGAAATAGCTTCTTATACTTGACAGTATATAAAGATTTAGGTTGTAAATTATCACAAGCCCAGGGAAAAGCAGCAAACTCCCCCTCTGGCCCTATCCCTTTATCCCTACATCTGACCTCTCTAGCAGAGCTAATCTTGATCTCAGTCTGTTCTTTGCTCTCCAGCTGCTCTGAAACCTCAGTGGCTGTCACTTTGGATGTTTGCAGGGTGTTCACCAACTGCACATCATCCAGCAGTGAGCCACTCGCCTCATTCAGCAACCTGTTTGGAGTAGACACACAAGCAAATACAACATAAAAAACCTGAATAGATAAATCCAGAAAACACTGCCAAAAAGTGTTCAAAACAGTCAGCTAAACCACCTGAGAATCTCATCCTCCAGCTCTTGCAGGCTTTTCTTGCCAGAAGCAATGCTGATCACCAAAGAATCCTTCTGTTCTTCTAGCTCTGGACGCTCCTTACGCACCACAATTCCCAGCAGTTGAGCTTCCAGTCCCTGCACCCACACACAATCCCACCCACAGACAATTTAAGGCAATGTCTCCCAGGGTTCCCACTCTTTTTAAAAAAAATTTTTTTAGGACATTTTCAGTGACGTCATATGGGGATGACATCCTAGGCTAACAAATTACTCTAATGAAGTCTCTTTTAAATCATATGTGTTAATCTATGATGATATTTTATAGGTACTTTATGACCAATTGATTATTGACAGCTGTCACACTCTCCTAACCCCCATCCCCCCCCCAATTCGCATGCAGTTCAGGCCATCAATGTCTGACTATTATTAGTATGCTACAATAAATAATAAATAAAAGACTACAGAGTGTAACTAAAAGAGCAATTAAGCTTTACTCTAACAATAAAAAGTAAGCATCATTAAACATTGAAACACTCCAGAAGAGCCGAACACTGTAAAACTCACACTAAATTAAACTGAACAAGGACAAATGTCTGTAGCCATTAACTTTACCTTTTAATCCAATAAAATTAATTTTGGCCTGCTAACATTCAGCATGCTCAAATGACACACACACACACACACACACAAACTATAAGGCCTCTTGACACTTTCTTAATGTAAATAGTGCAGGCAATCCTAGAAAAAACTTTGTTTTTAATGTTAAATGGTGAGAAGCAGCACATACACTTACAGACTAGCAATACATATGCTGCACTCTGAATTTTGTTAGTAAGCATGGCATCCTAGGCAGTAACAATCACAGCCAAAATTGTTTGATGTTGTTCACGTTTCAGCTACTCCCCAGTTTTGTGGGGGTCACCACAGCAGGTCCAAACATTCCACATACTGTATATGCACAGGTTTTATGCCGGATGCCCTTCCTGACACAACCCATTTTACCTAATGTTTGTAATTTACACATTTCAAATGTTTTTCTGATCTGCCAGAGCGAAACCTGCTAACACCAACATATAGGCCAGTTTGGGAACCGACATGGTGACAGAATAAAAAACAAAAAACAAAAAATCATCAACAGGGCAAAAGTAAAAAAGTTCACCAAATGAGCCATTGTAATGATAGTTACAACTAAGTACTGTTACTTGTTCAGTTCCATTTTTAGTTTATATTTGTTTACATTTTGTCACACTGGCTCCATTAAAAGTAGCCTATACTGAATTAGCTGTTTGCCACTCAATTTCCATGACTTTACTATGACTAGAAAACTGGTCAAAGGTTTCCATGTTTTCAGGATACGTGCAAACCCTGTTCACCTACTCTCAAAGTGCATGTGTACACAAATGAAGCACTGTACACAATACTGACCTAGAGATATAGAGAATACACATTAATTCACAGACATACTAGCATGTACACACAGTCATACCTGCTCCTTGACAGCAAAGTTGACTATGGTGGTTTTTGCGGAAATCTCAGGTGTGTAGTGGGGGTTAGACAGTTTGGTGGTGATGTAGAAACGAAACTCTGGATTGTACTCCACCTCCCTATCACCCAGCTTCATCAGTAGCCTGCTGCCTGGAAAAGGAGCAGACAATTGTACATCCATGGATTCAGGCATGCCCTCAAATTTAGCTGAAGATTTTGCTTACAGTCAGATTTTTAATTAGAAAATTTGTATATGCGTGTGTCTGACCTATCCGTGTCAGGGACTTGTTGAGAACTGGGTTGAGAGAAGGGTCCAACTCCTCATGCACATTCTGCAGCAACACAGGATTCCCAACCTGGATGGCATTCTCCAGTACCAGTAGGTAGTCTGGCATTTGAAAGTCTATTATCTTAAGACCCTGCACACATGGGCACGCATACACGCAGGAAGACAGAAAGAGCAATTAACTGTATATGACCTTTATTTAATCAGGTAGTAGTTGATCAAAATCTCTTTTTTCAATAGACACCGGAGTAAAGCTGGAGGGATAGAGCAGAGATAAGACACACAACAAAACACAGCCTGTCACATGCAAACGCATCAGAAACAATCACATATTTCTCTAAATGTTAAGAAAGAGTAGAGAGGACGTAACATGGAGCAAAGTCATAGTAGTCAAGGGAAAACAGAGAGGATGTATAAACAACTATAAAACATCTTTCTGGCCTGTGCCTGGCTTTCCACTACTGATGCCTTACCTGACATCCAGCCAAACATTGCTCAGTGCAATGTTTTTTTGAATAACAGCTCAAGACAATGTGGTGTCAGTTTTACTTCTTTTTTAGCATTTTTCTAGTAGGGCCTCAAAAATGGCTTAAGGTTTCATTTTAGGCGTTTAATAAACTGATTGCCTTCCTTGTTGTTCCTGTTAAGAGTTCAAGTTACAGCTGCTTTGATAAGAAGGAGGAAAGTAGAATTTGGGAGATGTTGCTGGTTTGACGTTAAACTGTATGATTTTCTTTGGGACAATATAGATAACTCTAGATAAACATTAATATACATTTTAAGTTGGGGTAGCAACTTACCCCTTGCACAAAGTGTTACCTGTTACTACTGTTTTTGGCACTGTATTTACTATTATTATTATTTTTCATGAATCATAAGTGGCATTAAAGGCAAATCAATATTTAACACTATTACCTGCAAAGTTATTGATTTGTGTGGAGGATATGGCTGCATCCCCACTTCTCTGGAAATTCCGTTTCTTTTGCAGACATTTAAATATCCATAATTGTTTCATAAATGTAACTAAACAGTAAAACCTTACTCTTTCCATTTCCATTCTCTTGACCCACTTCAGAGCTTGGCCTTGAGGGTCCACCATCAGTGGCCATCTTGACAAAAAAACAAAACAAAACAAAAACAAATTAACTTGTATTTAGAGTATAAAACACATGTTGTACTGCAACACAAGAAGATTCATATCTAATACAAACAAAACCAAAATATTTAACTTGGTAGGCTGTGCTTACCGACTACAGCTCATTTACTAAGTCATTAATCAAGCTGTGGCTACATATACTGACCGGTTTCCGTGGGTGACGATAACGCCATTCTCGGTAGAGAATGTGTCAGAGGGCAGGCCTTGAATGTTCCAATTCCTCACTACTGTGGGTTTGGACAGAAAAACTGCAAAACTGAACCTTGGTGTGCATGGGATCTGTAAGTCTGATACCTGAGGAGAGGGCAAACAGAAAGAGCGAAAGAACAAGAGAAAGGAGAAATTTATAAACAAAGTGAGTTTTTTTTGAAAATGCAAAAATAAATGATTTCAGTTTAATATTTTAGAAGGAAACTCTTCTTTCATGACTAGCTAGTAATGGTAGCTAGTCCTGAATGTTTGTGTGTGTATTTGCATCTTACCTCCTTCATCCACATGGCAAGCAGCTCATCTCTATAGTTGGAAAGGAAAGGTCCCATGTAGGACAGGAAGGATGCTGCTAGCAAACAGTCTCCTATGAGGTATCCCAAATTCTCTTCAAGGCCCTGAATCATTCACAAATACAGATTACACAGAAACACACACACACACACACACACACACACACACACACACACACACACACACACACACGATGGTGTGATTTATCTATTGCATGACTTGTTTGGTTCAAAACTACCTCAAACAAACCACTAAAAAGAAAGTAAAGGGATTTTCATTTTTGGTGTGTATGTTAATGAGTGTGTGTTTGGCCTACAGCAACTCTCTGCTCCCAGCGAACCCTCTCTCCAGCAAGTCCCTTCACCAGTTTGTCAGCTCGGTCTAGTTTGACCTCCATCTCATCTGATTTGTTCTTCAAACTCTCCTTTATGGCCAGCTTCTCATCATGCAGCTTTTTCAGCTCATCTATCTGTGCAGCCACCTGCTCACACAGACACACACAAAAATAATATTAGTGATATTAGTCTTGTTATATGTAAATTGAATTTACAATAATGCTACTTTTGCACTTGTATATAAATTAGTTTTGACTTGACATGAGCTAGTGTCTAAACATCTCTTAGTTTGGCTGCTAGATGCACTGGGCTCTGTACCTCTTGTAATTTGTTCTGGGCCTCTGCCACTGCAGCCTGCTTCTCTGCGAGCTGGGCCCTGGCAGTGCTCACTTGGGCCCGCTTTGGTTCCACCACCCTGTAGGCACATCCATAAACCTGGAAGAACAGTATACACATCTATGGATTTAGTTTTCCTTCCTAATTTACTCACTTTGTGCTGCTGCTATACTGTAATTTCCTTTATGTGTACAGCTTATTGTAGATTTGTGGAATGTGTATATTATATAAAAATTGCACTGTAATCTGCATGCATTAAATAAATAACTATTACAATAATAATTCATTACAAACTATTATGTGTGCTTGTGAGTTTATGGTGACAAGTGTGTGTGTGTGTGTAGGTTTGTGCCCCCTACTTACCTCCATGGCTCTGACCCACATGCAGAGAGACTTGGCAGCCAGTGACACCTTTCCAATGACCTCTGGCTGGAAGTCATTCTGTCTGCAGTAGTGACCAATCTTCTTCAACACAAGGTCTGATATATGGTTCTTATCAAAGTTAACTAATATTTTGATGAAGTTGGCCTCACCTGCCAAAAACATTTGAAGGTTACATTGGCCTACAAACCATAAAAATCTAAATATTTTTGCCCATTTCCTCTTATATGTAGCTTTCAGTTGGACTAATTTCCAACAAATCATCATTCTCAAAGGGAAAGACATGCTGCCCCAGTTTAGGTATTTGTTGTGTTCTCCCCCAAGTTAACTTTTTTATGTTATCTATTTTTTCTGCAGCTGTGTGGTCAGCAAGTGGAAATGCCAGTTTCACCTGAACTGCTTCTGTCCATGACCACATCTTGTGCCTGAAAGCCAGCTATAAAAAAAAAAAACCCTCTCATATCATGATGAGTGTCAGCAGAGGAAACAGTGTCAGCAATGCCAAAAGGTATCAAATGGCCTTGTGGAATAGAAATGTTTACATTAACTGTTCATTATCTGTGCAGTCACCTGTTTGATAAAAAGAGTGCACAGAAGTGCCCTAAATTACCTTGGTTTTGTTTCTGTTTGTCCAGGTATACTGAGGAGGACTGCATCTTATGACAATTTTAATCACAATCAATTGTCATAATAGCAAAACTAGAAAAGTAAGTCCATGCATAAAAAAGCAGATTTGACACAAAGAAAGAATGAATTCTATCAATGCACCTGCAATCTCCTTCTTCCCAGTTAAATCTTAATGTTTCATAATGTAACTGTCTGCTACTGTAACTGTCTGGTTTTATTCGACTCCATTTAGTGCACTTCAGTTGTCCCAGTTATTTTGTTTGTTTGCCAGACTCTCCCTTTATCTATCCCTAAACTCTGCACTGTTGTTGTCTCTCACCCAGCTGTCTTTTGGCCTCTGCCCAGGTAAGCTCTTTTCCCAGAAGGGTCATGACGGCCTGCATCACTGTCTCTACCAGTGCTGGGGGATGGCCACAGGACTTGATCTCTGTCATGTCTTTCTTATGCAAAGACTCCAGAGCCTATATGCAAAAAAAAATGTGTAGAAAATGTGTAGCTGTAAAGAGACAGGGTATACTGCTCGCCAGGTCACTTTAAATTTTAATTTAGACAGACAGAAAGCACACACTCAAACAACAATGCACTTACATTAGTGCAGAAGAGAAATAGTCAAACATACTGAAAGATCAAGCATTGCTACTCATCAAATATCAAGAAAATGAATGAGCCTGACACAATGAGCAAAGTCAGAAAAGCCAAAACTACCAATAGACAAAGTGACTAGCTGGATTAACACAATCATCAGCACAGAGATCTACCTTCACAGCCTCTTCCAGGACAGGCAGGGCCTCATCCAAGTCTCTCTGTGCATTCTCAGCCATAGCTTCACACTGCAGTTCCTCAGCACGGATTTTCTCATTGTTAGCAGTCACCGTCTCAAAACACACAAACACACAAACATAAATCAATGTGTTCATGACTATTACTATATAGAATACTATATCTCTTTATTAGCCAATTACCATGCACCCTTCTAAACAAAAATCATTAATTTCCACTTTCTCTAATCCAGTAAAATGACTGGGTGTCAGGTGGATGTGAACCATGTACATGTAATTATGCTAATTAAACTATTACTTTAATCTGTTTAGTAATATGTGTGCATGTAAACATGTTTGTGGTACATACTTTCTGCTGCTTGTCAGCCTCTCTCTTCTGCTGCACAATGTCAGACAGGTACTCGTCACACTGTTTCTGGAACTCAGCCACCTGCTTCTTGGCCAGCTCGAGCTCTATAGACATGGCCTCTACCTTCTCCCGTGTGTCACAGAGCTTGAAAAGGCCGTTACGCAGCTTGCTCACCTGCTCCCCCAGCTCACTGCGTTTCTCTGCCAATAGCCTGGATGGATACAGACACACATAAACACAATTTGAAGACTGACAAAGAGACAGGCGTTTAATAAATTGAGTCGACAGACAGAGTCATTTATCAAATGAAGGGAATTAGTAGAAATCAGCCAGGTGGCAATTGTAAAGTGAAAAACGTCCACACTAGAATTAATTAGATTAGTGTTATACTTCTGCTTGTTCTGGTGTAGTTCTATTCTGATACATATAATATTACCTGAAATAATCCGAAGGACCCACACTAATGTGAACTTTTTGCATGTACACTCATACTCAGAGCCTACAACAGACCTGGTTCTGTGCAACCCTAAAAACACACATGACACAGGGAGAAAGGCTGCAGGTGCCTACTTCTTATATCCAGACACCAGCTCCAGGTAGTTGGTGGGTATCACATAATTATGTCTCATCAGCTCCAACTTCATCCTTTCGGAAATCTTTGCTACTGACTGGTGTGTGGTCACAAAGACACTGGCAACCTTTGTCTGGATCTGCAACATAATGCAGCATAGGTAAAAGCATTGATCTAACATTTAAGCAATAGCAATACAACATCATGTGTATTTACTAATTATTCACTCATGTGGGGACTGATATGAGTGTCAGTTCAGAGTTACAGATTTTTATTTTCTAAACAAATCTTTTCACAAGAGTTTTTATACAGTACAACTAAACCTTTTATAAAGACTGGTTCTATAATATGTAACCAGCTGTTTATACACCAGGTTCACAGTGTGAAATAAAGTGCTTGCATGTAGAAATATGTGTTAAGTGTGTGTGCATGCATGCCTCACCCCCTCCAAAGATCCCAGATCCAGTCCATCCAAGTATCTCTCAGCTACCTCTAGCAGAGCATCTTTGGGCCACTCAGAGAACCAGTCAATCGTAGTGCAGTTGACCAGCGCTGGGTACTGGAGAATGCGGTTCCTATTGGAAAATCCCTATCTTATTCTTGTATAATTTTATGATATAATAATGCCCATTCTTGAGGACACAGGGCACACAGCTGAAGAGACTAATGAAGCCACCTTGAATATGCTTCAAACTCAGTCAAAGTAATGATCCCTTTTGCTGCAAAGGCTGCTTTTCAGACATGTACCTTAAAATGAAAGCACACTGTAAACAACACTGGCTAGTTTAGGCAGCATGGCACAAAGGCTTTTGAAAGTTCCAGTAAGGTATAAAAGCACACGCACAAGACCTACAGTGTGAATCAGTGAGCTAAGTTGGTTATTTGGTGTAGAAGGACTCCCTGAGCTCTTGCAGTGTGATATGGATCCTACTAGCAGGTAGTGGTTAGAGGGCCAGGATGGCTCATCACACAAACAGTGGTGATTAGCTCTGGGTAATAGTGCCTCCCAGGCCAATTACTGGCAATTGTGTGTAACCACTACCATGTGCTGGTGCTTTCTGTCACTGCATAAATAAAATGAAATGAATGTTCCTTGTTTTATGTGACCCTGTGTTGTTAGGGCAACAATGTGCCTACAACCTACTAGAGAGAAGCTGCTGAAGCACAGGAGCTGTTCAGCCTGTAAGAACTGCAATATGAGTCATACTGTTCTAATTTCCATAAACTGTGTGTCAAAAACAGAGATATTATGATCTAGCATAAAGTATAATAGAGGGCACAGTATGGTATAGGAAGCAGTATCAGAACGTACCTGAAGGGCTCTCCGACTGGGCTCATGCAGAGCACTATGTGTAGGTTGTTCCTGACTCGCTCTATTAGGTAGCTGAACAAGGCATCAGGAGTCTCCACCACTTTGTCTTTCCTGGCCGACTCTGACAAAGCCCTGCATATCTAGATGGAGGGACACATTAGAAAAAGAGTTAATCAACCCATGTTACTTACTGACTTCATAAAATAAATAGGAAAAAGAGGAGAGGAGAGGAGAAAAGAAGACAGAAGAGAAATATAGCCTTGAGTTAGGTTGAAAGACAGGAGGCCAAAATACAGTACATGAAGCCAATACAGACCTCAACAAACTCATCCTGCTTGTAGAGGTTAGGCACTTCTCCAGAGCTCAAGATGTTATTGATATCTTCAAGGAATGATTTGTCTACAATCTGGGTGTCATTAAACAGGAAAACAGCGGGCTTGTTGTCCACACCAGTCAAACGGTACAGCTTCTTGATGTCTGAAAGCAAAGACAGAGAGAGCATCTATAATGTAGCTTTACAGAAGACGGGATGAGAAGAACTAGCTGTACAAAGGCAGAAATACAGTAAATGATCAAAAATCAGATTCAGGTGAATCAGTCACTAGATAAACTTTGTCATGGTTTATAATTAATTGTTATCATTTCCTGAGAAGATTAACTCCAGAATGGAATATAATTATGATTTTCCTTTCTGTGAATCTAATAGCAGTGTGTGTGTTTGATCTCACCTTCTCTAAACTCCTGTTTGTGGTACTGCTTGGTGACTTCCACCTGGAAAACCTGGTATTTACAGATGAAGGCAGCCATTTTACACAGGCTCTGTTTACCAGATCCCCCAACACCAACCAGCAACATGTTGCCCCTGAGCTGACCAATCACCCGTACAATGCGAGTTACTGCGGAGGGACCACAAAAATATTACCTATATCATATGTTTTATCTGAAATCTTTATAGTATTATCATAATTATCCTATATGTGTCTTTTACACAGAGTAAGAATTTCTATCATCTGCTTACATATTTTGCCATCATATTTGCTTATGTGGCTATAACATTATGACATTTATTTTTTCCTCACTATTTTATAATAAAGTGCTAATTAGTGTTCTAATGCTGACATACCATAGAGCTTAACAGAACTCCAGTGTGACTGAAAATACCAGCACATGTATACAAATCAACACTACATTCAAACTGCTGTCAGTCCATGTTGTCTCTGTAATAATGTACTGTTACTGATTTGCAGCGGCGTGCAGTAGAGCGGCACACTGACAGCAGTGTGCTGAGGGGCTTTTAGCTGCACCTCATGCTGTGCTTTTCAAAGGAGCTTCAAACTGGGCTTGAATCAGAAAGCTGGCAAACAGTGAACACAGCAATCAGAGTACTGCAGATGAGGACCTCTTATATTGATTGTGGTAATGTAATGGACTGCCTGGACCGAATGTGACGAGTGGAACTGAAACTGTGGGCACATAAATCAGGGGATGTACCATTTAAATGTGTAAAGGGGTATGTTTGGATGTGTGTGTTCTCAGACGCACTGTGTTCCATGGCGTCTCGTTTTTTTTGAGCACCAGGCTCATGGGCACTACACTAGAGGTCAGGTTGTAGTCTTCCAGCTGGGTTTCCATGAACTTCTTAAGGGTCATCATGTCCAGTAGGTCCTCATACACATGAAACTCATTCAGGAAATCACCTGACACACACACACACACACACACATACATACACAATAAAACACACAAACTCAGATCTTGCTCTGTTATTACTCAATTTCATTATACAGTGTCCATTACCAATCTCATTATCTTATCTAAGAATATTTTTGCAACTTTGGTGTGACACTGAAATTGATGTGTGTATATATACACTCATTGGCCAGTTTATTCGGTGCACATGTACAATTGTATGCACTTCAATGCAACGCTTCCACCTTAACATCTGTGTAACAATTTCACCATCACAGATGTTAAGGTGGAAGTGTTGCAGTGAATTGCATACAATTGTACATGTGCACCGAATAAACTGGCCAATGAGTGTATGTGTGCACAGTCATAAATGTACCAAATATTGGCAGTTGTTTGTTAGGGCAGATGCTGTGGAATGTGAGGTCAAAGAGTGAGCCCAGTTTCTCTCCCATCAAAGTATTAAAGGCCTCGATGTCACTGTGATTTACAAGCCGGTCTGAAAAAACCCTGAAATCAACAAAAACAAAACATAGAAAACAAATATTATACAGTGTATACACAAGTATAAATCAAGTACAAACCATTCCAAAATGGGATATGCCCTTGGGTTTAGACCAGGGAAAATCATGCATAATGACACTGTATGTCATAATGAGGCTAAAGCTATGCTAACTATATCACCTGACTGTGAGACGGTTAAGGAGAAGGTGAAAAATTGCCCTAGGTTACCTGAAACACTCATGGATCCACAGTCTAGTGATGGTGTTTTTAGTATCATGGAAGTGTGGGTGAGCTCTTAGTAGACCCTGAAACACCTACAGGAAATGGGACAGGAAAAAGACAGATGCATCTAGCATTTTGATTAGCATAATATTTAGGTATTTTGAAGTATCCTCATAAAGATCGTTACCTAAATTACTTAACTAAAAAGCTTAAGTTCAATAAGCCTTCTGTTAATTTAAATAAAATTCTTTAGTTAGTGAACTCTCTCTATCAGACTCCTGCTGTGTTTTCCTGAATACATATTTTAGGTAGTGCACGTATAGATGTGTTGAGGGATACTGATATTGGTCTTGTATACCTTGGACATATCCCTGAGGTTGAAGAGATAGTGTATCTTGGCTGGAGTGGGAAGAAAATGTGCTGTAACAGCATGATACAGTTCTATGGTGGCCTGAGTCAGAACCTCTCCAATGAGATTCACCGTCTTAAAACCCTGTAGCTTTTGCTTGATCACGGTACTGAAGATCTGCCTTATCTGGGAGTCCTGCATGCAGAGGATAGGTTTGTTCAAGTCTGGTACATCTTGTAAATGACACAGCCATGTCGATGAAATACAAATATTTAAAAATTGTTATGGTCAAGAGAAAAAAAATCTTCTAAGGGGTGTAACAATTCCATTTCATATTGTCCACTTTGCTCAGTCAAAGGGAAGGCAATTCAAGTGTTAATGTTTACTCCCTGAATGCAATATTGTTCCCGTAATTTAGGAAGCAAATTTATTATGTTCTATATGGCATGAAATGATTCAAGTACAACAATATGCCATATTCTTAAAAAAACAGCCTAGATTTTGCAATGTACAGTAAGATGCTTAAAGATACTGCTGTATAATAATAATAATAAGGTCTAGACCTTACTTTGTAAAGTGTTCTGAGATTATTTTTGTTGTGATTTGGTACTATACAAATTACTTATTTGACATATTTCACTGCCTGTTTAAGTACAAATAAATTAATTACTAGAATAGTAAAATAGAACAGGACAAGACAGAAGACATACATTAGGAAAAGTCATATTGATGAGGTTGAATCGACTCTGTAAGCGGCCAGAGATGTGAGTCCTCCTTCCACCAGGGGGTCCCATGGATGCCAGCAAGAACATGTCCTAAAAAAGTAGAGAGACACACAAAAACACAGATGCAACAGAAAACAGTGGAGTTTAACAGGCACTTAGTAACACACACTTATGAAATTAAACATATTTCACATGTAAAGCTCTGGTTCCATGAACTAAAAAAGGCAGGTAAACGAAAGGAAATTATTAGAGATGCACAAGGAAAACAGTGATAAATGATAACATCTCAATCTCACACATACCATTATCTAAATTCCGTTTCTCACCTTAATAGACATTTGGATCTGTTTCTGCCGGTCATACCAGAAGCCATAGTCGATCCAGAGGCGCAACAGCTCCAGCGGTGGCTGGGAGCCAAATGGGTCATGGGCTGGCATGTTGAGGTCATCCAGGAAGCACAGCAGGTGCTTCCCACCGGATGGCACAAACACGCCTTTGGTTCTCTTTTCTATTCGGCTCTCCACAATGGCCTGGATATTATTTGAGGTGGTCTGAACAGTGGTAGACACACAGAAGGAGAAATTAACAAAAAGAAAAACAAAGACAAAATGGTATGTTTCACTGTTTCTCCACATGCAGAAGCCTTCTGAAACATCATTAATGTGGTAATAAAATTCTCAGCTGAAAACAATATTAGGAAAAGATACTTAAAGGTTTATTATAAAACCTGGATGTACACATGTTTACACAGTTACATGCTTGTATTTGTGTATAGTCCCATAATATGTATATCTGTTTAGCTTACTTTAGCATACTAGCATACTTTTGTATAAAATGATGAGTAGAGAATGGATCTGGTTCAGAGTAGTTGCTGGGAAAGTTTGGTGATAACAGTGATGGATGTGGAAGAAGAGGGTGGAGGGCTATGTGGTAGGAATTGTGGTGATGGATAGTGTGGATGGTAAAGGTGGGGGTGATGAGTGCCTCCATCATCCCTGGCTCTCTAATAGCTGATTCATCAGTGCTATCCACCACTGACATGATTCAGCCTAATTGCATCGCCCAAGAGCAATGCATCACTTTGACTGTAACTGTACTGAAACTGAGATGGAAGCTATTCAGAGGTGCAACATGGTCAGATGGAGGTAGATACTCTCACACACACACACACACACAAACACACACACACACACACACACACACACACACACACACACACACACAGAGAAATATGTACAAGCACATGTACACTCAATACCTGTGCTCAGTCAAGTCCATGAGTAAGGGTTACTCACCCAAAGATGTACAGATGAGCTAGGTGTTTGTGATTCTTCCACATGTGTAGTACTGTATCTATACATTATACTCTATGGCCATTTGTCTGAAAGCCTAGTGTTCATGCATAAATAAATTCATATCATGGTAGTTATATTTTAAACCCAGACTATTCCAATTAAGCTTTGAAGAACTTAAGCTCTGAGTAAAGACAAGACAGCAGACACTCATGGAAATAAAGGGAGACAAATCAAAGATTAAAGACCTCCTTAAACCACTTACATCATCCCTGTTACAAAATGCACACATTTACCTATACTTTAATCAACCCTTATTGACTGCATTACTGTGTTTCTTTACACACTAAATCTAAACCCAACCCTCATATTAAGTATAAATTGAAACCTTGAAAAAACTAAGCAGACACACAGACCATGCAAAGGCACCAACCTGTGAAGACATGTTGACAGTGACGGCAGCCCATTTGTTATCAAGGCCCTGCAGGACACTCTGAGCCACTGAGGTTTTACCGGTGCCCACTGGCCCTGTGAGAAGCACTGGATACTGACCCAGCACTAGTGCCTTAACCAGGAAGTTGTAGCGAACTGTGTCCACTGTGGGAACCATAATCTTATAGAATGGAGCACTGCAGAAGAGGCGAATGGGTAAATGTATTGTAGATGTTAGTGGCAGGTTATACAGTATCTCACTGTACTTATTCAGTTTCAAAAGTGAAAGTAAAGTAACTGAATTGGTATGGAGTGACACATGCAGTATATTTTTAAACAGCTGATGTAAGGTGCATATAGTAAGACCACCTGAGTGTTACCTGTCATTGTAGCGCCAGCCCTTTGGCAGCTTTTCTTCAAAAGAAGCCCACTTTTTGTTCTTGGCGTCCACAAAGTACTCATAAACTGTGTCCTGAAAGAGTTTACATACAAAGTTGAGAGAATTTTGGTCTTTGTTAAGACAGGCACTTGTTAATGTCTGCTGATGGAAAGTTGGCATGCACAGTATATCTTGTTTGTCACACAGACCTTACATCGTATCAGTATTTCATCTGTGGTCCATATAAAATGCATTGATGCAGTCAAGGCTTGCAATTCTAAAACGATGTACACGTCGTATTGATATGGTGTAATGGTTAGTGCAGTAACTAGAAAAATAGATGAATGTCTTTGTCTTAGGGTATCATTTGCACAAAACAAGACTAACCTTTTAAACTCTCATGATATGAATCTACTGTCATTATATCAAGCTACATTTGTGATATCATCCATGTATAATGAATAAAAACAACTTCCACCTGTCTTTTGGTATTATAAATAGCCTGTAGGATGCCAAAGCTCCTCAAATATAAACAGCTCCGGAAGCCGTATTTTGCAAAACATAGCTGAGTCACAGCAGTTAGAGCCTACTATACTTTTAACACTAGTCAAGGAAGCAAACTAGTGAAAAGAGAGAGCGTGTCATTTGACTGATTTTGTATGTCATAAATGTGCAAACAAAAATTATGCTCTACAGAGGACCTTGATAGGGAAGGTGCCATCCATCTCTCGTAGGAAGATGTCCATCTTCTTGCGCCCATCCTCGTCAACGGAGGCACAGATTGACCAGATAAGGCTGAAGATGAACCAGAGCTCCACCATCCTACCCAGGTTTTCTGTGTCTAAAATATTCACCTGGAGAAAGGGAAAGAAAAAAAATACACTGTTTACACACTAGGCATGCTTTAGAGATGATGTCAGTCTTTGTGTTGGGCTCCACTTACTAATTAAAAGGAGAGGAAACTGGTTATTTACTGCTTAATTTCAGTCACAACTCTTAAGACAGTTAACATCGTCACCAATTATCATATACAGTGGGGGTTACATATTGCAGTTGATCTGTCCTACCCCATTGCTGGATGTGGCCAGGGAGTCATAAAGACGGCAGAGAGAAACCACTCCATTAAGTTCAGTGATGGGAAACAGTTCCTTACAGTTGCTCTTCTTAAAGTTCAGTGTGCTCTCTATATATTTCTTAAACAAATTCTTTAAATGGCCAACTTCAGCCTGCGGAGAAATGGAAGAAAAAGAGCACCAGAGGGAGAGGGAAAAGAAAGGATACCAGAAATATAGATTACTTACAATATGTTCCTCAAACAAACTTGTTCATAAAAAAAACTATGACTATGAGTTACTATGAGTAAGCGCATTGTACCTTATGTCGCTTGTCCAGCCAAGACTGAACAAAAGGCTTCCATCCTAGATCAGTGTAATCGTTATAAACCATCCCACAGCGAGACACTGTAGCTGGAGAAGCCATTGCCAGGTTCTCCACTTCAAACAGCAGAGACACCTATGACAAAAGATTTTACACGCACTTTTTCTGTTGTGGTCATTTTAATGTACATGGTTGATCATGATACAGTACTATAGTAAATAATTTGCTTCTGTTTATTTATTAGTCTACCAACAAGACAAGTGTACTGGACAAAAGTAGTTTTCATGTAAGATCATCAGAAAGAAATTTATGTAGCCTATTGATTTAGATTTTATTGATTTTGGTTTGGAGCCAATCCCAGCTGGCATTAGGTGAGAGGTGGGGTATAGCCCAGACAGGTAAGCAGTCTATCACAGGGCGGACACTTGGAGCCAGACAACCACACAGACCCACACTCACTCCCAGGGGCATTTCAGAGTCGCCAGTCAACCTAAACTGCATGTCTTTACACTATGGGATGAGGCCAGAGTGCCCAGAGAAAACCCCCACAGGCACAGGGAGAACATGCAAACTCCACACAGAAAGGCAGCAGGTCAGCCCAGAACCTTCTTGCTGTGAGGTGCAGTGTGGATTCACTCATTTGATATAATGGAGTTCTATCTGCAGCGTGAGATGGCCATGAGACATGTGCAGAAAACGCTTCCAAAAATATTTCCAGTGTGTTTTACCAGTTAGCCTTTCTTTGTGCTTGTATCTTGTCAGATTTACCATACAGAAACCAAAATGGCCCAGTTTGTTTGTAGAATTTATAGCTGCTTCCCAAAACAAAACTGCATATTCACTTTGGCACATTACTTTCCATTTGTGTCCTCTGTTGATTTAAAACATGAATTATGCCTATGCTAAATATGCTCATCATAATTCTGCTGTAACACAATGTGTACATGCTCATACATTAAAAAGTCTTTTTAATGGAAGCCATTTTGATATGTCACAGAAGAAAAAGCACAAAAGTGTAAAAGATATGATTGGGTGCTTCAGTTTTAGGGTTGTGGTATTGTGCACACTGGCTCACTGTCACGGTTTAAACTTACACTGAAGCCATCGTTAATGGTAACCTGTGCTTTTCCTACTATGACAAGTCATAATGTCTTTACTGAAAAAAAAACATCAGTCAAGTTCTGTTCTCACCTGTTCAGGCATTGAGATTCTCTCTCCATTGATGAGAGTGAGTACCTTGTTGTCATCCATAACTGAGTTCATACTCTCTATCCACAGGGTATCAACAGGCCCGTCAAACACAATCCACTTCTCATCCGGTTTCTCATCTAAAAAATGGAGAGGAGAAAATGGCAGAGAAAATGTGACATAAAATGATACATACATAAAATGATGATATGTAAGGACATAAGCAACGTTTACTATTTTAGCATTACTACTTTAAAATCTATTTAGAGTTTTTTAATATATAAGGCATGTGCATAAATGTTCTATGAGACCATATAAAATGGTGTGTTTTCACATATGCTACATGCAGTTTTGACAGCAATGAGTGTATTTAGAGCCAGCACCTGCGCAGGCGGATCTCATGAGAGAGGATAGCACTCCATCAGTCCACTCACTGGTGGAGAGGTCATTCTCGCCATACAGCTCGCCCAGGCTCAATGCCTTGGGGTTCAGAGGATAATCCTGTTACAATCAAGACATAAAAGACAAAATGATTAAAGTATGATGACAGATCATAATTAATGAAGACAGTTTGTCTGACACAAAGCCTGAAATAATGTGAACACTATTCATGAAATATTTGCATCCTTTTGCTGCATAAACATTGTTTGGCTATGATTTGATTTAGTTTTAGATTGAACAGTCCAGCGCTTAATTAGCTCAGCTGAATAATGCATCCCCAATCTAATTCATGCAAATATATAACGTTTAGAAAAGACAAGGTGAGTTTCAGAATTAAAATAGTGCCCATCCAGATTGTCCATCCCACAGTGGTCCTCAGATTATTTCTTAGTCAGAATGCTAGTCCCTGGGTCAGAATTAGTTGGAAACCCCGTGCTACAGAACAAAACACCCAACTGACAATTCACATGCCTAAACGTCATCTACTCTGGCTAAATCAGGCTAATTGTTATCAAACTGTCACTAGCACTAGCACACATTTCAACTGCTGTTTTAGCCACCAAACATTTAGAATAAGTTTCTTTCTCTTATAATGTATCTTATGTATCTACAGCATCCTCAACAAGTCCACTGTGCTTCTGACCACAACACAAGGTCTGGTCTGAGGTTAGTGCTGAATCTCCTCAGGAATTATGAGCTGATTCCCTAAATCTGCTTTGCCAATCTCTCCCTGCATTTTGCTGGTCTGCATCTTGTCTATTCAAAATGATTTGCTTCCTGCCTATAAATAAATAAGAAAATATAAATACTGATTGTCTAAAAACATCCTAATACACACACACCAACACATTTTCACTGTTGCATGAATCCAATATATCAACATGTCATAGTGGATATGTTGTGGAAAGTATCAGGCATTTAGTGCGGCTATGGCTTTGGGATAAAAGCTGTTTTTAAGTCTACTTGTGCATTTTTTAATTACCCTGTATCGTCGGCCAGAAAGTAGCAGTTCAAATAGATTGTGTGCAGGTTGGGAATGATCTCTGAGAATGGTATGAGCTTTATTGAGGCAGTGGGTGCTATACAATTCTTCCAGGGAGGGAAGAGGGCAGCGGGCAGCACACACCCTGAGGATTTGCTGAAGTGATGCTACACCTGAACACAAGGGACATGTCGGTTAATCTAGAAATTTTGGGGAGATGGAAGCACATCATAAGTTGTGCCTAGAATGAATCTGATCCTTCCTGCCTCCATGTCCCACATTTCCCTCCAACTAAATGGTAAATGGACTGTATTTTATATAGCGCTTTTCTCACAGTGTGTTGCACTGGCCAAAGCGCTTTACAGGAGATCATACACCATTCATCCATTCACACACCGATGATGACAGGCTGCCACGTACCGCCGCTAGTCAAGCCACCGGGAGCAATTCGGGGTTCAGTGTCTTGCTCAGGGACACTTAGGCATGCGGGGAGACCGGGAGTCGAACCACCAACTTGCTGGTTAGGAGACGACTGCCCTACCTCCAACTAAGTTTCTTCCCATTTCATCCACTGTCCCTGCTGAGCCTGGGAGACTGCCTTTGCACATCCACCTGCCTCTTCCTGCCTCCTATTCTCCTCAATAACCAGCTTCCTCATGTCAGCTGCTGCTGCTCCTCTATGCTCTTAATCCCATGGCCTGCTGTCTCAAGCCCTGAATCTGCTCTTTATCAATAAGAGCACTGTTGGAATCAGCTCCTCGTTTATACAAAAGATTTTATCTGACAGCACATCTACTACTACTATTACTATACATAAACTATTGAAATGCCCCTTGATTTCTCTAGCTTCACCTTTATTCTAGCCCACTTTAACTTAGCCTTCAGCTTGTCCATTAGACTTTTGGTACATGGTGCTATGGTGGCGACAGTTGTCGTGCCATCCATGTACGCTCTTATGGGTGGTAACTGTTGGCCTGACAGAAGCCTTGCTCCTCCTGCAACCCATCTAGATGCCCTAATAATAACCTTCACTGTCATTGTACACACTAGCGATGAAATTGTGCATCCTGCCATGATACCTATCTCCAGTTGCTGCTTGAATACTGGTAGCCTATTACACAGTGTGATTTCATTCTCAGCTTAGAATAAAATCTCTGCAGGTCATTTACATCTTGTTTTGCTACTATACATTACTGGAATCAGTGCAGGCCTGATTTAAAACAGCTTTACACCCACCTGGACCATATGGAAGCCAGGCACTCTGTTCTGGTGCAGGGCTGTGAGGGCATGTTGCAGGGTTCTCCAAGTAACAGTCTTAGCACTGCCCGTCTTGCCTACCAGCATGGTGGAGTGTCGAGAGTTTTTGGTTTCATAAAGTTGGATGACTTTGGTCATGGTAAAAGGAGTCACCTGCAAACCTCTCTGACGAAGCTCCACTTCTATGGCCTCCTTCAACTGCAACCAAATGACAACAAAAAGATATACAGACTCTTAGCGAAGGTAATACCCTGAGCAATATTGCAAAATGTACAACATTATGATATTTTGATGAGTCAAGGTCAAGCCAGGTTGAATATATGCACTACTGTGCAAAGGTTCAGTCATTTTAGTTGTTTAGATTTTGATCCATCATGCAATACCATCAGGGAGGTGTCTGATCTTTCCTACATTCATTAAACACCATAAAAATAAGCTAATAAATACAACCAGTCATGAGAACTATCTTCAAACATAAGGAGAACAAGGAGTCCTGCTTCTATTTACTGCACATGAAGTTAATTGATGAATAAAAGGTATACACAAAATTTCTGAAAACATTTTCACTTTACAGCATAACACATATTTGTTATTCTATGCTGAACAAAAGAGACACCCAGATGCTGACTGAAGAACAAAAGCAACTATGGAGACCGACAGGTGTATGACTGACAGCGAACCAAACAAGCAGACAGGAAGCGTTGAACTATACAGCAGGAAGGGCTGACCCCCCTCACAGAGCCTCCACACAGAGAGGGGAATGACAGCTCTGCTCTAGGTGTCAGAGCAGATGGCTCAACATTCATTAGCTAGTAATAGGGGAGCCTCCCAGACAAAATAATGACACTGTCATTATTACACTATACAGTATGAGCTTCTGCCCGGCCAAAGGACTCTGGCTGCTCCTTTACCTCACATACAACCAAGAGCACACACATACTGCATGCTCAGATACCTAATACTAAAAAAGATATCAAATGTGTGGGCTATCCTATCTCTCTAGTTCTTTTTCTCTTTCTTCCAAATGAATTTTGGTCTAAAAAAGTACAATCTGTTGAGATGAAAACTATAAAATAAAAGCTGTATTATTAATCTTGCATTTGTGTGCTGCGTGTGTGCTCTGCATATGATAATACTAAACATATATTTACATTACATACAGTATACATACATCACATACATCTGTTTATCAGCATTCATAAACACTCAGACATGTTTGTGGGCATTCAGACACACATGTATGCAAACAAACCATAGTTAAAAAGGGAGACAATGCCAAGTTACTCGGGTGGCATGCTGGTGCAGTGTTTAGCACTAGTGCATAAAGGTTCCAGGTTCAAACCTCGCAACCGACCGGGGTCTGTTCTCCTCATCCCTGTGTAGTTTTCCTCCATGTACTCCACAGTACAAAGACATGCAGGATGGTTGTCTGTCTCTACTTGTACGTGTCAGTCCTATGAGACACTGCCAACATGTACAGGGTGTACCCCGTCTCTCAAGGATAAGATGGTATAGATGATGAATGAACAAATGACTCAACAGCTGCAGTGTCAGCAGTGGTGCTCACAGTAAATATTGTCTAACTCTTCTGAGCATTCTTGTTTCAGCATTGGTAAGAGTATTTTATGTATATTTTGGTGCTACAATGAAATTTTAAAATGAGGTGTACAATGACCTCTGGGGGCAAATGAGCTGCAACTGAGCCACACTTCCTTTTGCATGTGTATGTACAGTACTTGCTCAAATAAGGAAAATCCTTCTTGGTATTTTGCAGATAAAGAAAAAGGAACTGTCTAAGCAAACAGAACACTACTTCTCTACAGATATGCTGAGCTTGACTACTGACCTAGATCAGCTTACCTTGCCATCATCTATAATGGGTGTTTCCACAGCAGGGAACAGGTCCTGGGTGATCCCACTGAAAAGTGGCAGGTCTGTAGAGGTCAACTTAGCAATGTTCATGCCTTTCATAGCCATTAACAGGATCTGAGGAGAGAGACAATGATTGAGTCAGTCATGACAGCTTAATTCTTACTGAATTTGAAAGGGAAAGACTCCTAGTTGAGTAAAAAGTGCTGGTTCTCTTGTGTTTTTTGACACTGTAGATACAGCAAGCCAAAGAGAGATAACAGCATGACTTAGGTGCAACTTAGTCATTTTATTCTTAAATCTCTACTTTGTGTTATTAGACAGTGTTTTCTTGATTAGCTTTAAAAATCTTGCTTAGCTTTTAAAAATCAGAATCCTATCAGAAAGGGATCTCTTAATGGTCAATATGAAAATGTATAAACATAAACATGAATGATTACAGCAAGCAAGTGTTCATACGTATACTGTACACCTGACTATTATATTAAGACAGGCCTATCCTTTGAAAAAGCTTAGTATTTCATAATGTTAGTTTGGTTTATTTTACATAATGTTTGTAATTTCTTTTAGTTTCTTGGAGCTTGCGAACAAATGTTTATGTTAGTTTATGTCTGTGTGTTTAAGGTTTCTCAGACGCTCTTAGCAAATCGTCAAACCCGTTTTATTGGTGTGAGAGAGTGAGGAAAAGAGAGAGAGAAAGAGAGAGCAAGGGAGAGAGGCCTACTTCTTCATCAGGAAGGTTGGGGCAAGAGCGACGCTTCTTTCCGGCATAGCGGACCAAGGAGGTGAGGGCACGCAGGCCAAAATCATAATGGTCCTGTTTAGACAGCTGCTGCACCGCGAGTGAGTACAGGGTGAAAACCTTTTTAGCCAGGAGCTATGAAAGCAAAGATGAATACAGAGGTAAAGTAACATCCAAACAGGAAAAAGAACAAAGAAGAAGCTGAGGGAGAAGAGTAAATGTCAGCTAAAACAGAATTAGTTAAACAATTAATAGGTGTGGTTGTAACATAAGTCATTGGACATAAATTCATCACCTCCCATTCTTTGCCTCACTGTAAAGACACATTTCTTATCATATATCACTTCAACCACACAACCAGCTTGTACTGTAGCAAAACAGAATAATGTAAACTGAACACATCAGTGAGCATTCAGTGTGTACAGTGTAAAAATAGCACCCAGAATCCATTACGTGGATACAGTACGTTAGTATGTTAAAGACAAGGCTTTGTTACTGCAAAGTGAGAAAGAGAGTTGATTTGAGGCTTTCTTTTATTTACATAGACAATATCTTTATGTTCCTTAATTCTTCGTCAAAAATCAATCAAACATATGAATCCTGGCTGTAGAATATTGCTGTTGTTCAGAGTTTTGCTGCACAGAATCACCATAGAACGTCACCTGTGTTTGTCAAACTTCAGAACACATCCTGTACCACAGATGAATAGACCATGATCATCCTCCAATTTTCCCACTTACCATGTTGCTGTACCATGATCCAAAAACTCAACTAAGATTAACCTTACTTGAATGGCTTTCTCATTTTTCCCAGCACACTATTAGGACAAGATTTCCTTGAGTTATAGTACCTTGCAGTTGTTGAAGCCCTCTGCAAAAAGTATGATCTCAGCAATTAAAGTTGAGTCTGGCACCACCATGGAGATAGGTCTGAACATGGACTTAAGGTTGTCTGGAAGCTCAGTACGACCAGCGTAACCTAGGGAAGCAAAACATTTACTGCAGGCTTTCATGACAGAAAACATAGCAAAACATCATAACCCACTTTTGTCTATTTACAAATTATTCAAATGTAACTATCTCCACTAACACATGGTGACATAAAGTGCTGTGCATGCATTTACATATCTGTGTGGACCTACCTGGATTCATGGTGATAAAGATGCCACATGACCTGACCAGACGTATGTGCTGTCCATCAAAATGGAACGTGGAGAGTCCAGCTGAGAGTGCAGAGAAGATGGAACGTATCTGCTGGGCCACTACCGACAACACCTCAAGGTTGATTCGGTTGAATTCATCAAAGCACCCCCATGCTCCTGTCTGTTCAGGGTAGACACAATGAAATAGGTACATATTTGAAAGCTAAACTACATGAAGAGACAGTAGGAAAAAAAAAACCCAGACTAATAAAAAAAGCTTGATTTTCCCTAACTGAAAGTCATCTTGTGATGTCTTTAACTTACAGACTTGTTGATTAACTATAATTAGTTCCATCATCATCATCATCACCATCCCCATCCCCCATGTCATCACACTTCCCCTTCTCCCTACCTACCTGTGCAAGACCAGAGTGCATGCGTCCCATGGATTTGTAGTCTAGTCCTTCAGAGCAGTTGACTACAATGACATACATGCCTAGGGCTTTGCCTAAGTCCTTTACTGTCTCTGTCTTCCCAGTACCAGCTGGGCCTTTAGGAGAACCCCCTCGGTGGAGATGGAGTGCTGTAGTCAGGGTCATGTAACACCTGGACAGAGTCAAACAGTGAAGAAAGAGGAAGAGAATGATGTTAACAAACTACTGCAGAGAAATACAGTACCAATACCTGTTCCAATGTGAACTACACACACACGTTTGTTTTCTTCCTTGTGAGGACTTTACACTGACTTACAGTAATTTCCTGAAGACTTAACCTTAACCATAACTAATACTTGCCTAACCATAACCCTTACCCTAACACTTAACCTAACGTAATGTAACCTCACCCTATCCTTAAACCAAGACTTCACTCTAAAATGTAAGGGTTTATGTTTTGGGGGCTTGCTTTTTGTACCCATAAGGATAAAAGTTTCCACGATGTAACTGTGTAAACAAATTTACTTCCCCAAAACATGAATAATATCAGGCCACACATAGACACACACACACACACAAAGTAACTGGCACTAGTCGTTTTTCTGTAACTGCATGAGACAAGGTGTCATCATGTGATAGGCAAGTGTAAGATTTGAATCTTATAGGCTTCATTGTTATTGGATTGTGTGTAAAAATGTGTGTTGTTACATCAAGTGTTTTATATGCTTGAAAGAATAAATCAAATCAAATCAAGATTTGAGTCTTATAGACTCTAGTTACTTTATTACTTTTCATACCTTTAGTTTCCTTTCGTTACCTTTCATAACTTTATTCTCCTTTAGTTACTTTTCATCCCTTTATTTTCCTTGCTTATATATATTAAAACTGAATTGATGACTGTCAAATTCTACTGAGTTGGAACTTTGGAACTGTATGCTGTAACTTTGTGGAGATATAATGTCTGCATCTTCATTGTAACCAGGTGGCTTGATTTACATCTACACATAGACCTGTTGGTCTGATTTACATCTTCACACAGGCCTGCTCAGCCTTTTACAGGTCTGGCTTCTAGCACATGGTCAGCAAGCAGGCGTGGGCAGTCATAGGTTGGCCTGCTCACGCCTATGGCCAATAGAATTAAGATATGTGTAAGTCCAACCCCTGTTCCGGGTGGTCTCTGCCCAAGAAGATAAATATAACCAGAAACAATGGCTCGGGGCTTTTTGAGAACAGTTTTCCTGTGGAAACTCTGTCACTCAGAGCCCAGCGCTGTATAGCTTTACCATGTGACCAGGCTCTGATTAAATTTTCTGTTGATTTTATAATGTCCTCTTCTGTCTTCTCTTCTTGCGCTTTCAACAAAAGAACTGGGTTTTTCTAACACAAGCTAACTGTAGCTTCTGTTTAGTTAATTACATAATACACTAATCAGAGTACAAATCTGTGCTTAGTTTTCAAAAAAGAGTTGTCATTTTGCTGTTTCTTACTCAGTGTCTATATGAAACATAACCATAGAGGTTTTTGACATAAAATAATTAGATTCCTTAAAACTTAATTAACTGATATGTGACAGACTGAATGATGTGTTGACACATTTGTTAATTGGTGCATGATAAATTGTGACCTATCAGTGAGAGGAGTGATGACGAGTCGTCCAGAGTTGCCCAGGTACTCATAGCCATAGTTAAATCGGGTGTTGGTCTGTCGGATTATGCAATCTTCCTCATCCTGTTGGGAGAACAAAGCAGGAAATAGTCAAGTTTGTGTCTGTTTCCAACTCATTTCGGTCCATCTCTTATCCCTCCGCAAAAACTGATCTTGACTTGTTGCCATTAGACATGTCAGCAAACCGAGTAAAAGAGAATAAGAGATGTTGATATTATGAAAAAATATGGAAAAAAGAGAGAGGGTATATGTACTGCATAGGTGTTTTATAATTTTTTTTAAACTAAACTACTGATAATTTGTTACACCCACTTGTTCTATCACAGTTTTGCTTTCACATTTTAAACTTAAGTGTCATGATCTCAGTCATTGTCCTGTCTCCACTGCTTGTTTCCCTGTAGTTCTAGACCCAGCCACTCATTACACCTGGATAGCAATGAGAGAACATTTTCTTTTCTTTCTTTTCTTCTCCCAAAGCAGTCTTCTGAAAATTATAATGTGCTCTGATATGGGCTGTAAGAATAAGGAAATGAAACAGGGTGTCACTGCTTCTGCAGGGAGACAGAGAGGAATGGGTTGGTTTCATGGAATAGGTTACCATAGTAAGTGACTTGGAGTTAAAGTGATCTCTGTTTCTGCAGCTGATAACCCAGAGTTTTCCTTTAACTGGGGCAAACAAACACTGAGTTTTTACTTAACCCGCTGTCACAGTTTGGACCTCGCTTCCTGGTTTTCTGTTGTTTTTTTTCTCCCACCTTTTCCGTCTCATTCTCAGTCAGCACAATTAGCCATCATTTCATCCACCTGCCACTCATTATCTCCCGGTCCCTGGAGCTTTTTGTATATGTTCACCGCTGGTTCACTGAGTTGCGTCTGTTTCACTACTCACTTGGTGACCTCCTTAAACAGTTTAACTTGTTTGTTTCCAGACACTTTTCGGGCTCCTCGTTTTCTCAGTCTCCTGGGTCTCCAACTTGTTTTTCAGTGTGGCGTACTTCCCGGCATATTTACCTGCTCTCTGCTGTGGAGAAGACAGTGGCAACACACTCACCTGCTGTAATGCCACTAACCTGCATACTTACCATCTCTCCTGATCTCTGGTGCGCTACTACGCCACTAATCTGCATACTTACCACCCTCATCCTTCAAAGGGACCTGAGTAGCCCTCTGTCCTGGAAGGCTAGGAAGAAGGAAGGCCTGGAAGAAGCCAGATCTGTCGCTGCAGCCTCTATCCCGGCCAGCCCTGTCATTGCAGCCTCAGCCCCAGCCAACCCAGAATCCCCAATCGTGGCATGGGGAGACCCACCCGAGGCAACTGAAGGCCCAGATGGGGCCTCCCCTCTCCTGTCCTGCTCTTCAGCCACAGTCCATCCAACGGCCCCAGCCTCCACAAGGCCATCCTGCCAAGCAGTCTTTTCGTTCTCCTGCCTCAGCCCCAGCCTATTTCAGAGCTGCAGTCCCAGCCCCAGCCTCTTTCTGAGCCTGTTCCCGAGCTACAGCCTCAGCCCGAGTGGGAGCCTTTGACTGTCTCTGAGCCACACACCGTTTCCAGGGGCAGACAATGCAGGAAAATAAAGCGACCAATACAGCCAGCTCCCACTGCCCACAACCCCGAGGTTGAAATCCTCTTGGCAGTGGTGGGTCCTTGTTGGGCAGACGGGAGTGTCCGCATGGAAGATGACCATCTTCAGTGCGCCGACAGAAGCATCCCTGCCAAGGGTCCAACCGCGCCGCATGTCACTGAGAACGCTCCTCAGAAGGCCCTTGCTCCAAGTTCCCAGTCCAACGCTGCTGCTGCCACCTCTGCCGGCTCTGCTGCTGCTGCAGTAGCTTCCACCTGCTCCACCGCTGGCGCAGCCACCCCAGCCTGCTCCACCGCTTCCACAGCCACCTCTGCCTGTCCCAGAGCAGCAGCGGGCTCCATCTGTTACTGATCCCAAGTGGGTTGGCCGGCGCGGAGACCCCATCTCCATTCCTGTCCCTATGACTGATACTGCAGACGTCCCCACTGAGACTAAGAACCCCAGGTGTGTCAACGAGAGCATCCCTCTGCAAGCATTCCAGTCCTCATCATACAAACTACATGCATAAACAACCCTCTTTGGGCAGTCTTGTTGTTTTTAGTTTGTCTATATGTCAACTCCCCTTTTAGCTATGCAAAAACCTGATTTTTTTTGTTACAAATCATGTGCAGTCTCCCCCCCTTTGTCCAGCCTTGAGCTGGGCTGTGACAACAGCCATAGTGTTTTTTTTGTCAAACTGTCTTCTACATGTTGTTCTTACTTGCCTCTCTCAAAGCATACTTCTCCCAGTATAGTCGCAGCTGGCAGAGCCATTCAAAGGCATTGACATCATGGCAGCCTGCCTTGGCCAGCTTGTCAATTACATCCCGAGCATGAACCTCCACTGTGACCAACGCTACAATCTTCAGACGCAGGACCTTGGACAGGTTACCACGGATCATCTCTGAATAGCACTGAAGCATGGAGACCTGAGAAACAAAGATAATTATAGTAAAGACTCTAGCGTTTATTAGAAGTTTGCTAATTCTTAACATTATATTGGCTAATCATGGGGCTGATACACTGATTTTATCATAACAAGGTTAATTTATGCATTGGCTACACAGACTACTGAATTTGCATAAAAACAGACAAGAGAAACATTTTAAATGTTTAGAATCATTATTAAGAACCATCAGCTTGGTGTATGAAGACATAATGGCACCTTAACAAATCATCACAATGATTTCATTCATCTAAAAAATAGGAAAGTCCTACTCTCACACAAGCTTTAGGGGAGTTAAATGACAAAATTATTCAAACCTGTTTCTTCTTCATGGACTTAAGGGCAGACTGGTCAGCTCGCTCTTTGCTGGTAATGAGAGCTTTAGTGACAGCAGCGGTCCACTGGATCTGACTGGCTGTGATCAGCATCTAAAACAGGAGGAATACACAAACATACTGTTATGAAAAATGAACTTTGCTGTAAAGAACCTGGTAGCTTTGTTTGAATTAAATTTTAAAATCAAAATACTACTCTTTCCAAGTTTCTTACATTTTTCTATTAACTCCACAAGCAGGAGAAGATATATTTGATGTTAGGGAATTTGTAGTTTGTAAAGCTTAAAGCAAAATATTACCCTAGCAGCTCAATTAAGTAAAAACCTATGGAACTGAGGAGGGGTCGTTTTGAGTTTAGCAGGAACTGGGATTTGTAAATGGAATAAAACTGTGTACAGTACATAAGGAGAAAAGAGCAATTATAATAACATACTTGCTATGATACACTGGCTTTCAAATTGTTAAACCCATGTTAGATATTAGTAAATCAGTTAGAGAATTGTTAAACAATGTGCTGAATCAGATGTGTTAGTAATGCAGTTTAGTAAGATTTAAAGTCTGCTCTAGTCTGTTTTGTCTCAAGGTTAGCAGACAGAATGTTGATTCTGAAAAGTGAACCATAAGCACCAATTCTTTTCCTGTATTAATCTTGTATTAGAATATTATGTCCGAATAAATGAATGAATGCCTTAGATACACACCATGTGACAACATACACACACATTGAAATTCTTCATTTTGTTATGACTAGGTAAACATGCAGCTGCTCAAAGCACGTGGAGCACTAGATAAGAGATGGAGTCTTCAGACTGACTTCATCTGGGTAAGGGGTTAGCCCAAACTTATGAATGTATTAGGTTCTGTGTGGCCAGGGACTCCACTTTCCAGCAGCCTGTGTGTGTGTGTGTCTCTGGAAGGGGGAGCAACCCAGGTTGTGTTTGTAATTTTTACTTGTGGTTAAAATAAATCAGCACTAGATGAAGAAAGACGGACTCCTTCGTTATTCAGTTAAAGAACTGGGGTACTACACCCATTTGCATTGATTTAACATGCATCTTATTTTTTATGCCAGAGACAGTAGGCCAAGAATAAGCTGCATCACTGGATCAATCAGAATGTCACATCGGTGAAGACGCACAAGCAGGATAGGCAGTTAAAGAGGGAAAAGCCAAAGGTAAATGTACCTGTCCTGGCCAGTCTCTGACCCATTTGTCTCTCTGACCCAGCATCCTTTTTAGAGCTACAAGGCAGTCGCTCAGACAATACTTCAGTGTCATACGCATTGCCTCCTCGACATCACATAGCCAAATCTACATACACAAAAAGCACAATTTCCACCATAACTCTCTTCACTGTATTCATCATCACTGTTATCATGACTTCACTCACATTTATTATTAATACACTATTACCACCATGATCTGATCATAGCAATAATCATCATCAGTGCTGTACCTCCACAGGTGTGTCCAGTAGCACTGACAGGCTGAAGCGAATATACTCCTCATCAGCAGAGAACATCCCAATGGCACGTGGACAACTGCCCACCTATAGAAAACACACAGTTGTCTGTACCTGTAACTTCCTGTCCATTCAAATCTGCATTCATATAAGATAAAAACAGTTTTCTAAACAGGGAAGTTAAAGTAACAAAATGTTAGCCAATAATTGTAAGATAATTGCTGTGACAGAGTAAAAAATGAAGAAATAATCATCACTTAACACAGGCTTCACTCTAAAAAGGTGTTTTCTATATGCTTGAGTATCTAGTGTATCAGTGGAATGCTCATCTTACAGTGTTATTCCTGTTATGTAATATGCCTACAGTAATGCTACAATAACATAATTAAACCATGTCAAAAATGCTTAACAGCTGTGTAAATGTGCATACATGACCAATTCATAGTTTTGTGATGGAATTTTGTGTCCTATAATAAGGAAGAGTGTTTTTATTTATAAAGCCCAATATCACATATAGCAAATTTGGCTGAAGTGACTTTACTATTTATACAGCATATGACACCCTCTGTTTGTAGACCCCTGTAAAATTGGATTTGTTGTAGTATACTATATAACGTCAGGTAAAAAACACACCAGGCATGTCTTCTAACTTTAACTAAAAAGGCCTTAAATTACTGTTTGTCAGAAGAAGTGCAGCCCTGGTCACTGAGTATATGTGTGCCTTTGATTATCTGATTTCCATGCCTTTTCAATAAGGAGGCTTCTAATGTTGTCAAAACACTTCTTCAGGTGGGGTTGCATGGCTTCTGAGTTCTGTGACTGCCCCAGGATCTCTAGCACATCATCATTGGACAGGAAGTAAAATCTTGGAAATATCTGCCTCTTGGTCTCCAAGTACATGTCCAAGGCTTTCTGGATCTCCTCCAGCTTGGCATTCATCTCTGTCAGCTTCTCCAGCAGGCCTGAAAGAGAGAGAGGAGAGGCTGTCTTTCGCTTTCACTAAATTCTGAATATTGTTTTTATTTATATACCTATGTTAAAAATATGTAGGAGAATATTTTTGTCTCTGCCCTTTACATGTTCAGTAATTTGCAAGCTTAATTGCTCAAAATTTATGTTCTCATCGTTACAGCAATAATTCTGTGAAACCACAGTTGCAGGTTCTATGTCACAATTGTATGCTTCAGCCTTTGTATGTTTAAAGTTCTGTATTTCTGAAGCAAATGTGTTCAGCAACTATCCTATAACATTTGGTAATATTCAGAGAGTGCAGGTTGTATTCCACATTTTCAAATCAAGGCATCTTATTTTTAGGAGCAGAGTTGCTTTGCAGTATCTTTGTAGAGTAAGAATAATGGCTGTCACTGCAGTGATTCGTTCTTGTTGACAGATCATAAGATTCCCATCTCAAATAATATCACTTGTGTAAGTTGTGCCAGTATTTTCTGGCTGTTGACATACAGTATATATTATTTTATGAATAGTATAGGTTACACAAGTTCCCTTGTGTAGTTAACATAACATTGCGGTTTTACTGTATGGTTTAATCTAAAAAACACACCCACACATAGCTCAGATTCTTAAACCAACCACTAAACTGTACCTAGTTATGTTTATTTTACAAGTACACAGGTGTTTAATTCCAGAAATTTCACACAATTGTTTCCACACCCTGAGCACACAGAGGAAAATATGATGTGACACCAGGTACAGTTTTGATAACATCATATTATTTAAAGGAACAGGAAGTATGTTGTCACACCTGGGTGGTGTGTTCCCTGTAAGGCATTGTTATCCTTATTAAGTTGGCCCATAATGATTTTCCAATTACAACTAATGTCTTCAAACTCTTTGCAATCCTGAGGCAGCTGCTCTCTGATGTCCTTTCCTTGGAAAATGTTCTAGATGGATGAAAACAAAGAAAAATGGACAGTGAAAGAGACGATATGGTAGTGGAGAGATGGGGTTAATTGTACAAAAGAAAGGGCCAAAACTTATCACAAGGACTGCACTCAAATGAAATGACATTACATTAGAATGCAAACTGGTAACACTGAACCACATTCACCAAATGTTTTTAAAAACTCATTTCTTCATAAAACCCACTTACAAAGATTCTGGTATTCACCAAGGTTTTCTTATCTGGGATTTGTTCTTAGGCAAGAACAGAATCTCCACACACTCAGGGGCACATTTACGCACATTTGGGTGCTGACATTTGTGTGAAATAAATGGCCATTTAGTTTTCTTCAGTTCTACAGTTATATAATATTGTAAGATTTAAATTACAATAACAGTTTTGTCATTATTAATATTTCTTTAATATTTTTCCAATTATTTTACAAAGCATTATGGTCTTTTAAAACGAATAAACACTACACAAAGCATTACATCAAGCAATTAACAAGCTTGTTTATAAATCAAGGTTCTAAAAATTAATTTAATTTTTACACTGTGAATATTTGTAGCTAATATTTGTAGAATTAGGAAACATTACAAAAAACTCCAAACATGTTTAAGTGCATATCTTACTAATTTCTGTTCATTTAGTTTTCTTTATCTTTTGGATATTTTGGCCAGTGTTGAGGCTGTGCAAGTCTGTGTAAGTGATTGGTTGTCCAGCACCTGAGATCAGACTCAGGACAGTTGAAGGGACCTGGGTGCACGCATGGAGGTATGCTCAGCTGATGGAATCTGAGAGAGCCATATGCTCCAGATGCTCTGGTCCAGATCAGATAACTCTGGGCCAGCCTGCCCTCCTCCACTGGTCAGCGTCTCTCTTGTCTGTTTGTTTTGTTGCCTCAGATTTCAGATTAAGCCATCTTTTTAATTCATCAGTTGTGTCCCTTTCACCTTATACAGTGTTCACTGAACAAGTAAGAGCATCCCATGTATCTTTTTTTTTGTTTTATTTTATATTCACTACTGACATAACTAAATATGACAGCTTATTTGCTGTTCTCCACTTACTCTCCATAATTACTCAAGTTTTTCTTTGCTTTGGAGTTCGTGGCTCCACTGTCTTTACATTTTCATTACAGCATTCCCGGCTTTCTCAGCTTTTCTTTTCCGTTTCTGTGTGAGATGTGTGCAAGGCCCTGCAGTCTCATGCCCTTTTATGGGCATTGGTGGGGTGTTAACCTATGCGAATTAGGAACAACTGGTAAGTACTTCCAACTTACAAACACATGAGATTCATCAATACAAGAACACAGATGTAAACAATTCTGTGGTTTAAAAGTGCACTAATGACTCAGACAGACTTTTCTTAGGACCTTTCTTAATGAAGAAATTTAAGAAAACACTTAGGAAGATGTTGGTGAATGTGGCCCAATGCTACATCCAAGCACAGATGTGCTTTATAACAATGAAAAACAACAATGTAACCAAAGACGGTACCATATTGGGTGATAAATATGCTCCTACAATCCAATAATTAATCATGATGTCAACCAAAATGAAAAATATTTACTATAACAAATAACCTCTGTAACATGTTTACCCCATCAAATTGTGCATATTCATAAAGAGCAAGTCATAAAAATAATGACTATCCATGTATAATAATGAATCCTATGATATACTATGTAATACCTCCAAATAAATCCATTGACGTTGCACAGTGAGGATCATCTCAGTGTTCTCCAGCACTTGGGACAGTCGGCGTTCCCAGCAGTCCGCCTCCTGCTCAAAGACTTTGACAAACCGAGAAGCCTTTATTTTGGACAGAGTGACCTGGCTGTCGTCCAGGGCCTGGAAAACCTTCTCTGTGCCCCTGGGAAAGACAGGAAGAAAGAATCAAACATGACTGCTGATGACTATGGCATTCCAAGGGAGACACATTTTCACAGCAGAAACTGTCATTGTAAATATATTTATGTAAACCTATAAGTTCTAGTTCTATAAGTTTTAGTTCATCTGTGGCAGCTTTTGAAGCTATATTTATTTTTAAGTGCATGATGCTGAAAGGTATTTAAAATCATATTGGGTAAATGAAGCCCGTTAATATGCATAATGTTTAACTTTCAAGCCAAGTAATGAATCAAAGAATACAGCTGCATAGATAATCTGAGTTTGCATTGAAAAATGACCATTTCTTTTCCATTGGTCTTAATATAAATACTGAAGGTGAACAGGATGCATAATCAGCTGTGTGCATTCCTCAGGTTTTGTTAAAAACTTGACACTGCATGTCTCTAGTGGCCTGCTTTGTAAAAGCCACAAACTCACAGAAAAAGGTGGTAAATTATTGAATACATTTCTTATTTGACCTCAGGTACTGTATATATATACCAGCAGTCATTTTTTAGACCTCTCTGTTTGTGCTTCAGCTCGTCTTCATTTAGGGTTAATTTCTCAAAAGAATATCTGTGTAATAAGCATCTTTCTTGTACATTTCACTCTCACTGTCTCTGTTCTCCCTGCCTCTCTGCATCATGTTTACTGTGAGTCAGTGGCTGACTGTAGCCTTCCCCCTCTCTGTAGAATCAGTGGCAATGACTTGGACTGCTAATTAGACTGGGCCTGAGATCTCTCTCTATTCATTTGTATATGCAACAGATGGTACTGGCTCTCCTGCTTTCATCAGCCAAGCTGTCACTCAGTTAATTCAGATCTGATCACTTATTACTGATGACAAACAAAAACACTCTCTAAATCTGACTTCTCTAGCAAGGCTGTTAACAGGCAGTCATACATCAGTGTCCTATGTACATACACTCTACTATATTGCCATGCTACAAAGGCATTACATCCATCTATATACAAGCTATATTGAGACATCACTGGATGGCAGTAGTGAACTACTCTATACTGAGCTGTAGGATCTAGTGATGCGGGTAAATTAGACATAAAGAAGGCATAGTAAATCTATGACCATAACCTGCAGTGAGTTTCATCCTGGATGACAGTTATAATTTCTTGAACCTTCCATCGAACCCTGTCCTTAAGGCTCAATTTCTCACCTCAGCCGGTAGTGACCATTTTTGTAAGGTTCTATTTCCAGGAATGTTTCCTCCCATGTCTTAGTAATGCTCTTCAGATCCTTTAATATCAAACACATAGAGTAATGTTAACAGGCAGATGACACCACTGAATGATGGCAACATGGGGGATTTTTCTATTCTTTGTCTTTTCCACAAGTATAAAGATCCATTATGTAAGCCTAGATTAATAATGACAGGAAAGAACAAATCTTAGTTTTGAGTTCTACTGTCTACTGACAATAAACTGTACAGTATTTTAAAAAGTAATATTAAAAGCAATTTTTAAAAGGCACAGTTAAATCCCACCAAGGAGTATTTCAGTTTCACAATCTGGCAGGTTGATCATTTTTGTGAGGGGGCTACTTTCAAATAAGTCTTATTGCATGACTGCACCTTTCAGGCACTCCTTCACTTCTTCAGACCAGTCCTTCATGCCAAGAATGCAGCCCCAATTGCTAATTTACCTGCTGTTTTAGTAAATCTACTGCTAACTGTCTGCATATTGCAAAGTGAAAATTCAATGAAAGACATGGCACAAATTTGCATTGTGCTTCCATGTGAATAAAAATGGCCATAAAACTGTACTGATATAATCTCTGTGAGTGATGAGGTGTTTGGTAAGGAAGTGGTGTGAGTCTGGGGGCAGACTGATAGTTACATAGGGTGAGAGACAGATGCAGCTGTGCTGCATATGAACAACAAGCATGAAAGCAGGCTGGAAGGGAGCCAGGTTTCGACAGTTCTGACTTTGATTACTAATTTTGTGGGCAAGAATCTGGTGAGAATGAATGGCAGTAGAAGCTAAAAAACTGCCCAATGAGCATCAGTCATTGATTAGTGACTGGACCTGCTCTATGCTGAGTTCCTGGCTGGCAGCTCTAGAGATATCACAGATCTTGTCGGCGTACTCATCAAGGCCCAGATAAAACATCTTCTCCAGAGTGAATTCAGCACTGGTATGGTCACAAGAGCACTGCAGCTCTTCATCAATCTGCTTCCAGTGCCTGAAGGAAAATTGGCATTCAAAGTATGATTAGTCTTAGTCTTCCATCTTCTGGGTGACCGTTAACAAATCAATTCAAACACACAAGTTACAAATTTGCTTCAAAAGGCTCTATAATTTGTAACATACAAACATATAGCTCCTCATTTCCACCGGGTGCAGCTGCGTCACATTGCATCTGCAACGCGGTCGCCAGAGCTGATTGCTACCAGTCTAGTCAATGCTAGACAGGCTGAGACGTGTCTCAGATACATCCCAGATGCAGGTCTGCTGCTCCGCTTCACTAAAGATAGGCATCTGGTCTATTTTTGACAGATGTTGCTTCTGACAGAAGGAACCCATCAATCACACAGCTCTTTCCCCAAAACACAGATAAAACAAGGAAAAATAGCCTGCATGAAAAATCAGCACTACAAGGAGCCACTCCACAGATGCTCCTAGTGGGGAATGAAGTCACGCAAAGGACAGATCAAAACCAGATCACAAGGGGAGCGCAGCGCAGCTGCACCGGGTAGACATTAGGGGTAGCACTCTATCTGTAGACCATTAGTCATTAGCAAACAGAGAAAACAAAAACACATGCACTATAGTACTTCAGTGTTTATAACCTTGGCAGTAGTGTTTATGCAGAGCTCAAGTACTTTCACCTACATTCCATTTTCCACTAAAGTACATGAAGGACTGAAGGACATAAATGTCTCTATTAACACCTGTGGCAAGAGTGATGCACTAAAGTAAATTTATAATCTCTGCTTACCCTGCCCAAAAACTATACAAATCTAACATATTTGTGGACTGCTTACATATAAGTAGAGGGATATCTGGGTATGACAGATGTATCACTGCGCTCTGAACTCTATACAGAAGCATAATGAGCAATGGGCTGAAATAACTGACAGCCAGCACAGAGGGAAAGGGATGGAGAGTGAAACAGAGGGTGAGGAGACAGCAGAATCTGTGACACCTACTGTAACACATTCTGGCTGGTCTTATTGACAGTTCTTCTTATTAACAGTTCTCTCATTTGAGACCCAGGGAACTTAGATATGCTTGATATTACCCAGGAAGTAAAAACACCCTCTCACCAATTAGCATCACAACCATTGTGCTGAGCACAGAATGTGCTTTTTTCTGTCTTTATTTTTCCCCTGGCTATTTTATGGTGAAATAGCAAACAGAATTTTGTGTTTGTGTTTATTCAATGATCACAGCTTCAGGACAACTTCTGAAAAAGCAGAATGGACTATCCATGGTAATTTTGTAGAACTTGGGAACATAATTAATGAGCATCCTTTCAGTCAAAGTTGTAAAACCAGACTTGTACAGCAAGCTAAGTGCAGATCCCCATCCCATCTAGTATCATTCTTCATTCCTTGTACATTGTAACTATCACAAGACAACTGTTCCAAGATACTTCAATAACAAATAAATAGATTTTTGTTTCAGTACCTGTCTCTCATAGCAGGGTTCTTCATGTCAGCAATGAGAGGAATGATCCGCTTGAACTGGTTAATTTTGTTCTTAGAGAAATCTACTATGGCCCATTCCTTATCCTGCAATAAAGACAAAAATCTGGTACTCACTACTTGTGTAATGTAAATATGCTGTGAGTTTGTTTTACAGGAACTGTGCATTTAGTCAGATTTTTACCATCCCCAGGAAAGGCCATAGCCTAAAATGATACAGGAAGCCAAACTGGGTGTGGCAGAACTGACCTTTAGTTCTCTCTGGAGTTTGTGGAGTCTTTTGACCATGTCCTGTGCTGTGCTCTCCATATCCTCTGTCCGCAGTGTAGCAAACTGACCAGCTTTCCAGATGTTCCAATTGGCATTCCATTCCTGTGCAACCTCCCAAACCTGCTGCAGGTGTTCTATGTCCTGCACAAAAAAAGTTCTATCAAAAATACACTTTGTTGGCTAGCATTTGAAACAATTGTTCCTTTAAAAAGTATTCTGTCTGGCCAAACTATTAAATATTTGTAACCACCCCCCAAAAAAGAAACTGCAAGCACAATTCACATAAATTAAGCCAGTTTATCAAAACCACAGTCCCCACTTCTGTATATGGCTTATTATGTTGGAGTTTGTATAAGCATATAACAAAACAGTGCTGTATCAGACCTTCTCCAGCGCCTGGATGCTTTTGGAAGGGGCCTGTTCCACTTTGAAAAAGCCCAGCCCGTGAAGGATGGTGCATTCTTCCTGCTTTAGAGCCTCCAGTTGGCTGCGATGTTCTGATATTTGCTTTAAGGCCAATTCAGTGCTCAGTGCACTGTCAAATGGACCTGGATATGCACATGCAAATATACAGGTACATGAAAAAACATAAACAGACCAATATTTACATTCATATGTATATACCCCAAAGCCCCAAAACAAAGGGCAGACATATTATACAATGCCTACCGTATCATCACTGGAAGGAAAGATGGTAATGCCCCAAAACAGAAGGTATAACATAGACTGTGTGAGTGTTTGAAAGACAGAGTAGGACACAAAGTATGTGACCTGTGCTGTTGAACTTCTGCAGAGTGGCCTGGATCTTTTTCTTGAACTCCTTTGAGGAGAGCAGGAGACTGTTCTTAAAGTTCTCCTTGTGCTTCTGCAGCATGATGTCACTGTCAGTCAACAGCTGCTGGAACAACATCCACTCCCCATTCAGCACCTCACGCATATCCTTCACCTGTGGGTAAACCATAAATTATGTTCTTCTGAGTGTTTATTTAAGTGTAGATATAGAGTAACCATGACTACTAGAGAAATCAGGGTTTTGACAAAATCTGCATTTTGCTGAAACCCTAGAGGTTTACAAAAATCGGACAGATTTTCTCTTAATTAGTGAAGTACTTACAACCGGTTCCACTGGGACCTCATATTTGTCCAGGATAGCAAACTGCTCATGGATGAGAGAAATCTGAGCTTCTGTCTTGGCCAAATCACCCTTGAGAGTCTCCAAGAGCTTCAGACGGTCACCAAGCTCAGCCAGTGTCTGGGGAGGTTGTCCCAGCCTAAACATACAGTACACATACATATAAAACAACAAAAGTCACACCCTTTTTATCACAATATTCATATCTCAAATGTTTGCAGGACCAAAAGCTTCTCAATATTCATATCTCAAATGTTTGCAGGATCAAAAGCTTCTCCCTTTCCTTTCCTTTCTTGTCTCTTACTCCCTTCATCACCATATTTATATCAGTGACCAAACAGATCAGGATAGGTGAAATCAATGTAGAATTTTCATCTTAATTAACCTTATGAGTTTAATGTATTTTATCGAAGCAGCAGGTGCTCTGTCACCTAAACAGCAAATCAGAGGTCTGCACAGTGACTGGTGACAATGGGGCTTTGGGCAGACAAACACTATCATAGTAATTCATGGTCAGTGTGTAGGCTGCTAAACTCTATGTGTGAGCCATAGCACGTCTCACACATACACAGCAAATTACTGCTTTGTAACTGTTTCATAACTGATGGTTTTTCCTCAGTGAAGCCGATTTTTGGTAATCTTTACAAAAATTATTAGCTAAATACAGTATGTTTGTTTAATAAATAGTTCCTGTTCATCTTAGCCAAAACAAAACAGACAGTTCAAGTCAACCCCATTTTAGTAAAATCTTCTCACTCTGTGCCAACTGACTGATAGAAAAAAAAAATCTGCCAGCTGGTATTAGCTGCTTGATACAAAATGTCTTTGAAGACACTGTAAGACAAACAGAGGAAGATAAATAATAAATTTCTTCTATCTATATACACAACTTGCCATCATATTCAAAAAAACCTCACCTACAAAACATAACCTGCAAAATAAGTACTTTCAGGGTACCCCCATGGCTTAACTGAATTGCAACATTCTTTGTTGGGCTTGAGCCAGGGACCTTTGTTCAAGCTCTCTGTTCCTCACTGCCACTCTCATCTATACTGTTTGTAATAAACACATAAATAATACACCTTATTTCTCTTGAATCTGCACCTGTTGGCATTGTCTTGCAGGGAGGCATGCAGTTCTTGTAGGCGAGTACTGGCCATGTGGCTGAGCAGCTGAGTGAACCTAGCCTGCCACTCACTGCACTGCTGCACCAAGGAGGACTTGAGTGGTGAACAGTCCAGCATGACAAACCAGATGTTCTGCACAGTCTCTTCTTGTTGAACACTGTGGGCCTTTTCTGTGTACCTAGGTCAACAACATAATGGACACAAGACAAATGGAGAAGGGGGAGAATAATGCAACTGCATTCCTCAGTTTAGAAAACACCAACAGTTAACAAATGTCTCATGACAAAAATAAACAAAAGTCCACTTGGCAATTAGAGATCCATTGTGTGAAAGGGCATTTTCAACTGAATCAGCTGCTACAGCTGAACCAGAACTACAGTTGTCACAAGGCAACAATCTGAAAGATGACGGGTGAAAGCTGGTATTTTCCTGTATCATTGAACAGCAGCTGTAGTCAACTTTAATTCATGCCAGTTACTTCTGAAAGTATTAAAAGGTTCACAGAAACAGTACCTGTGTATATCAGCATCAAAAGCAGTGACTGGTGGGTTTAGTCTCTGGTAGCGTTTTAGAAATGTGTCCTTGTTGGTCTCCCAGATGCCCCTGTATTTGTCCCAGGTCTCCAGAGAGGTCTGCAGGTGGTTGGCATTGACTGCCATTTCTGTGGCAACTGCAGCCTGAATCTTTCTTATCTCCTCATCTTGACCTGAAGGGTCAACAAGGACCAGGGTGATGATAGGGACCAGAGTAGAAGCACAGTTATATACAATATACCTGGGTACACCCTCAGTCAATACTAACAAAATGATAATTATAAATCCTGTAGTAAAACAAAAATGTTTGATTAATTAAACTATACTAAGAAGTATTTAAAAAACAGCTACAACAAAAGTCAGTAAATCCTTCATTACTGAGATTATTGTATTTTTTTTTCTTTTCAAGTCAACCTTTATTTTTTGATCTTACTCAATCCTCCAGGGCATGATGACACCAACTGCTCTTTGCTGGAGAAGTTTTGTTACTCAATACTCAATATGTGTGGTATTGGATTCAAGTCAGGGGGACACACATGGCCAGATCATATATTTTACTTTTCCTTCTTTAAAACTTCCTGTGTGATCTTTGTTTGTGTTTGGGATTATTATTATTATATTGTATTATATTATTATTATGTGAGAAAATTCTTCTCCTGCTAAGCTTCTTGAGAATGGGAGTCATCTTTTCATTCAGTACATGGGTATGAACACTTGTATTCATAATGCCATTTGCCATTTTTTGAGGATGGTCAGAGTGCCTTCTGTTGTTTATAGTGTGACTTTTCCTATACCTCCTAACCACTAAATATAGCTGTGTTTTAGCTCATTTTCAGCAGCCTACTGGTGCTCTTGCGCTCCCATCTTTATGAAATCTCATTATGTGGTTCAGGCAAGTCCTTACCATGTGGAGCCAAACTGCATTAGATACAAACCAGACCAAAATCGAGAAAGCTGTGGTGTTTCTAACATTTTTTCATCCAGTTAACCTGAGCTTGAAATAACAGGTGCAATCACTTTTGTTGCAGTGATTACAGGTAAACTGGCTTTTGTTGCATTTAGTTTGTACTTTGGGGCCTGTATTCTCAATGTACTTTATCTAACCATCTTTTCTAATTATACTTAAGACAAAATATATTTCCCTAATGTAATTACTGTAAGACTATATGTAATGTTAATTATTTAACATTTTAGTGACTGACCAGGGGTATACAGTTTTGTTGTGTGCTGTCACTGTCAGGTCTACCTCTACCCATCACTGAGTAAAAACGGGTCAGATTTACACACTGTTGTTTTTTTTTTTTTGTAAAATGTGGATTCACTGAGGAAAAAAAAAATTCTAACCTATGCTGATGTGAATGGGATTCCTTTGTGACTGTGTGCCGGTGAGAAGTTCAGACAGACGTTTAAATTCTGAGATGGTGTTGATGAGCTGAGGCAAAATGTTAACTATCTGAGCAAGCTTTCCAAGTGTTGGGGAGAACTCGACCTATCAAACCAAAGACACATATACATAAACAAACAAACACCACAAACATTCACTTTTGCCTAAGAGATCAAAACCTGTACCCAATCTCTGGCATCTGCAAGTAAAGGAGCAATATACTTGTAACTGATATAGCCTTAAACCTTTGAGTTAATTCATTCCAACAGACAAAACAAATACATTTTTTCAATAATACCTGTGTCATGATAATATGGTTGTGAATGAAAAAATAAGAGTGAGAATCCAACATTTACATAGGTTACCACTCTACTGAAACTCTAGAGCCTGCATATGTGCAGCATAGAACGCACACAAAATAACTGTGAAGTATAGTCCATGCCACAATCTGTAACCCTGAAAGTGGGATTTGAAAGGCTGAAAATAAATTTGGAATGTGTTAAATATAGGTGGCATGGTGGTGCAGTGGTTAGTGCTGTTGTCTCACAGCAAGAAGGTTCTGAGTTTTTTTTCAGTCCTATTTTGAAATCATATTTTAATTACTGGCTTTTTTTTCCAGTTAGTTTGTTTCACCTGCTAAAACTGTGCCAAAAAAGCTGATCTGAATCTCTGAAAGAAGTGTGTTGAATGTCTGAAAACAAGTTTCAAATCTTTGAAAACACTGATTTGTAATATTGAAAAGCATGATGCAATTTTTTTCTGAATTTCGAACCTTATCTATAAGGTTTGAACTCTAATTTTCAGTTTTGAAAACTTATTTTCAACCTTTCAAATTGTAGTTTCAGTGTTACAGATTGTGGCATGTACTGCACTTCATAAATAACAGGATGAATGACTGTACGTGTGCCTGAGTATTTCTTCTATCAAACTTGGGTAAACAAGTCATTATCATATGACCTAACTGGATTATGTGGGGTTGCTGGTACCTTTGGTGTTGCCTGCGGTGTTGCCTGGTGCAGTACTAATAGCACATTGAACAAGGGATTGGGTGATGTCTTGCTGTTTCTGTTGATGGCCCTGGATAACTTCTTCATAGAGCTTTTGATGTTGGTCCTAAAAGCTTCCTCTACCATGTAGTCCACTTTCTCTGTGTAGGTCAGCCATTGCTCCTGGACCTTAAACACCATAGTAAAAATGTACACACATGACAGAGCAGTGCGCCTATTATAAAATTATAATCCAAAAGGCTTAGTAATTCAGTAAGAAAGAATAATAGCAAAGGTCCTTGATTTATGTTTATATCAGACATTTTTGAATTGGTGTGAACATTGTTTTTTAGTAGTTTAATCACACGTTAAACAACTTATGTGGGTCAATCCTAAATTGGTTGCAGGTGAAGAATCTTTCTTTTCTATCCTTCTCTGAAATAATCTTATGAATGTGCCAGATGATAATTTTCTGACAATGCAGCAACATTACTGGTGAAATGCAACTGAATGAATGACACTAAACACAGCGCAGACCTCATGTCCATCATTAGAGAAGGTGTTGTAAATGCGGGTCATGATATCAACAATTTCCTGGTGTGCTCTGCGCAGTATTCGGAGCTGGTTCTGCTGGTGAGCTCTCTGGTCATCCTCAAATTCCAGATTCCTAAGTATAACAACAGGAGAAAGACAGAAAAAGCAGCCAACAAAGGAAATCAATGTGAATCACTTGGATCCAATGTACAACTAAGACGCAACCCATATACAGTATATCGAACTTTATATTGGACCCATATATATATATAGATATACATCGACAAAGTCCAGATCACACCATATATACCTGTAACAATGTGGACAGACAGAGCAAAGATCATGTGCATGCACAATTGACTCTTTTCTTACTTCAGAGTGTGATAGGCATTCTTAGCATTTTAGTTTGAAAGACAGACAGACCTCACATTTTTTAATGAGGAAGAAACATGTCATCCAGTGCAGTGATTTTTAATCGCTTCTGGACAAGACTGGAGGTCTACAGCACAGACAAATGAGACACACCAGGTTCTGGATTGACATGCGTTGTGGTGAGTAGACACACAATTCATTGTGTAATCTTTTTATGGGGTGTTTTGAAAGTAAAAAAGGAAAGAAAAACAACGGCTTTATCCTTTTTTAATACATATGAGATGCATCATAAGATGTTAATTAAAATATAATAAATAGTTTAAAAAATCTGCAGACATTATTAATTTTGTGTATTTACTGTATAAGGCACACCATGCAGTGATCACCTATCTGTTATTACCTGTACACAGTCTTTCCATCCAGTCTAACAAGCAGTGTTTGACTGATTTGGCGACAGAGGTTGGAGATGGACAGATTGGATATTTTATAACCATTAGCCACCAACTGGACCTGGAGTGTAATAAAGAAGAGAGAAGATGAGTGGAGCAGATTTTGTTTTACAGCTACTTCCACTCTATGAATCACTAAAGAAAGAAATAAAAAAGTGATTACATTAATAATAAAACTGTACCAGTGTCCATATTAACTAAGTGGTGAATTGTGTGTTAAAACCTTGTCAATGTGCTGGAGACAGTCACGAATGAAGGTGTTAGAAGCTCCTTTAGACAACCACTGAAGCCTGGTCAGTCCTGGTTTAATCTTCTGATCAATGAAATTAATTTGTACCCGAAACAGTCCCATATCACTAGGAGACATAATTCCAAGGATCCTGATACACACATACACACACACACACACACAAAAAAAACAGGTCATAAGGGCATTAAATAAACATTGCTATGCAGCTAGCATACTGTTTAAGAAGCTTGGTGCATTTTGTATGTTTGTGTGCTTTTATAGTGAATCCCCTTGTAAAGTCTTATATTGCTCACTAAGGGAAGCAAACATTTTAATACTTGACTGAACAATATTTGACAGAGGTGGCTTCATGATGAAACACATATCAGTGTTTGTAGTAAGCTTTCCACTGGGTTACAACGCTGCAAACCTAGGCTGATCTGGCCTACATGATTGTTCTAAACAAGAGGGAATGAAACTTTGTATCTGGGCTAATTGCTGTACATACATTTACTCTGGAAAATAGTGTGTAGCCCCAAAAAACACAATAATCAAATTACAATAGCTGTCAGTGGAAAATAAGGGCTCCTACCTCACACTCTACCAAAAAAAAAATATCACCAGGCAAGTATACAAGTGATATTACCCCTGATCACTAATATCAGTACTCCATACAAATGCACAGACCAAGTTACTGTGACTGTTTTTAACACTTTGTTGCCTTTTTGTAACTTTCTATTTTAAGACTAAGTGTATTACTAAGTGCGATGTTTGAAGGTCATTGGGGAAAATACTATTACCCTATTTTTGTGTATTACGGTTTTAATGCTTTGATTCCTTTATGTAACTTTTTATTTTAAGACTAAGTGTTCTTTCTGGCTTTTGACTCCTTACCTGACTCCAAAGGAGAGCTGCACAAGAATTCCTATATGCCTAGACTGCATGCATGCATGGCAAATAAAAATCTTGACTTGACTAGATCACTGTATGCATAATGCCATTCTTATTTGATTGGAAAAGTACCAAGTATAGAAGGATGTTAAAGGCACAATATTGTCCAAAATATAAATTTATAATATACAGTAACAGAAAGCATGGTTCAATGTTGCATGGAAGTTTGTTCTCCTGTATGTGTGAGACCTGTTATAGTCTCTGATAAGCAGCAGTGCTCTCTCTCTAAGGCTTCTGAGGTCCTCCCTGTCCTGGTAAATGTCAGACACACACTGGGGGATCTCAA